GAAGTAAAACAAAAACACTGAATGAACAATACAAACATTACAAACAAAAACTATCTACAATGAATCGTTTTACAACCCTATAGTTGACTTTGTTTGTTTTCAAACAATTCATTTTTATTAGTTACCTAAATTATTATACAGTTTGAATATGTATATCTAAAAAAAATTTCTGTACTACTTAAAGCATAGTCTCAAGGAAGTAGTAAAGGGTCCATACATTGAGGAAGATGATGATTGGAGATTTCCCTATCAGATGATTGCATCCTGGAGGAGATAGATCAACCTGCAGAACAAGCCAAGTGTTGTCTTAAGAAATTAAGATTAATGCATAGGCATGTAAAAAATGGATTCATATCACATGTATGTAGAATCAGAACGTACATGTAATTGAACAGTTCTAGAAGTTTTATAAGTTATTTTCCCCCTTAAAAAACTTAAGCTTTAACATCTCACATGTAAGCTGATGTTTGTGAAAATTAGTGTTTAAACAATGCCTCCACACTTAGAGTCAAAATATACATTGCACCAAACGCCAAATAAAACAAAAAGTCGGATAAACAGCTGATCAAATTATAAACGGAAGGTAAATAAAAGATACGTCTTATAACACTTAAAACATATATTTACGCTTATACTTTTACTCACAAGGCGGTAAATGTACAAAAAAGATGGTAAGTGTTGATCGATTTCGATTGGACACTCCAATCATCATCAGACCCAATAAGCGAATGCCGATCACCACTTACCATCTTTTTTGTATATTTACCTTCTTGTGAGTAACAAGTATAAGCGTAAATATATGTTTTAATTGTTATAAGACGTATCTTTTATTTACCTTCCGTAAATTTAATAACACGTACAATGCTGATCAAGAAGCAAATTATAAAACACTTCAACTCAATTTCAGGTAACAACGATTTCTCAGCAATATGAAACATTTCACGCAGTACTTGGGCTTTTTTCAGGAATTATAAACGTAATGTTATAACTTAATAATCGCCCACAAATGTTAGTCTGCAACTAAAATCTCCTTCATATTGTCAATACGACTGTATTTACTAAGTTGTCTTTTAACCAGTATAAGTTAATTGTTTAAGTAAGAGCAAATCTGACTATATCAATGATTGAATTGTACTCTCTAGTATTATTTCACAGGTAAGCTGTATGTGATAAGTGACTTTTTAACAGCTGCCATCAATAATCAATAATTATTATCGGTGAACTTGTAAATTGATTTTGCATTGATAAGAAAAGCCCCTGACTGCACAGATTTGGATTGGTCATTGATAAGCAATACTCCTGTTGGATTTGATAGATTTTGAAATTTGAAAGAACAATGTTTATGTCTGATTTCATACAGTTGGTACTAGTTGGATGTAATTCAGAAGAGTTAGGGTACAAAAACACTTCTTTAAATCGACTGTAAAAAAGTGACACCCACTACCGGTATTGGTTTTTATACAGAAAAAAAAAACAAAGTTTTACTTTGTAATTCAATTCAATTACCTGTAACAGGATTAAATTTGAGTTTATGTTACACTTATTATGTGATTTCTTATTTGAGAATCCGACAGAGACCGGACCAACCAATTCCATTGTTAATACTAAAAACAACAACCCAAAGCCTTGGATATCCAGGATATTTAACCAGAAGTGATTTTGATGACACGTGTTACATGTACAGTAAGCTCTTTTTTCAAATTTCAGCCCAAAGTTTAGCAGTTTTGGGTTCACCCTAAAACCTAAAACAAAAAAATAAAGTATATATCTATCAAACCACCAAAATTCCATTACTCTTCTATAATATTTCTTGTTTTCTTTTTTAAATAATGTTCAAGTGATGCAAAGATTTTTAGAGTAAAATTGACCATTTGTGTGCTATCAGTACTTTAATATTCACAAATGTCCACGTTCAACTGATAAGGTGGTTTAGAGTAATTTCTTGAAAAACTGTGTGCAAAAGTAGTTCAAGGCTATCTTATCACTAAGTTGGTATTATGTTTTATGGCCATGTTTTGTGGTTAAATGCCTTCTTGAGTGTGGTTAATGGTTAGATAAGACTATGTTAACAAGTCATGTGGTAAAAGGCATCAAACATAAGCAATGGAACTTGAATACAGCAGAAAATTATAGTCATTTTTTAACTTAGACCTTGGACTTTACTCTAAACTGAAGTAGCCACTCAATTTTTATGTTAAAGTTTTTAGCCATGGGAGAGAAGAAGAACTGAATTCCATTGAGCCATTGAGTGTTTTGCTGTAAATCTTTTTTCTAGACCTCAAATTGTTAACCATATACTAAACTAAAGTTTATTCTTGGTAGTTAAATGAATGAAATATTATAATTATTTACAATACATAGGTCTACATCATAAATAAGTAAATAAATACATTTGAATCATACACTATTTCCATTTTCTTACACTACTACTGCTTTATACATTATACAGAATTGTAGGTTTAGGTTAAACCAATAACCTTCAGTATCATGAAAGGACATGCCAGTTCGAGACTGCTCTTAAATATTATATCAACGTTACAAGATAAACTTTATTTAAAGGATCAAAGTAAATCAATTACATTTTCAGATGACATCCATAATATCATACTTGAAGGGTGTCAGTTGACCATATTTACATGTCACTGATATTTGAGTTTTCGAGGCACTCTACATGATATAGCTTGTGTTAGCCCTAAATGGTATCTGTATGAATTATGCATGCAGTGAGTGACAACTTTTGAATATTCACTGATTTTCTAGCCTTGAATGAAGAATTACCTCTGAAATGATGAATTGACTTTAGTATGTGGTTTACTTACCAAGTCTTTCCCTACGTCATTTGCCTGGAAATCATTATTTTATTTTCCATTCATTCCGTTCTTAAAGAAACCCTCACACTATTGATTTTCCTATTGAAAAGTACAGTCCTTGTCTTATTGTTAAGTCGATTAGATGTGGGTTTTGCATTCCTTGAATGCACTGCACTGATGTGAATAAATTACAGATAAAGTAAGAAGTAAATAATTTCTTTATATTCCAGTTCTTTCATGAGTCTTTAATTTTTTTCTCTTATTATTGTTGGGCAAATATTAATTTTAAGTATTTGTTAGATTATATAGTTGAGCTATACAATGAAGGATGATCCTATACTTATAGCTGTTCTTGATCATTGGGCTTTATGTAGGTACTGTAACAAAATAATGGTCAAAATAAATGGAATTTTCATTTTAGAATCAATCCCAATCCCTTAGTTACTTATTAAAAGCTTATAGTTATATTTATTTAGATTTTCAATAACATTTTGACATTTTGGTTCAACATTATTCAATATTAACAAACAACATTTTCATAAAATGTTGATCAATGTTGGGAAAATCTTGTTACAATATTCTCAGAAAAATATTGTTGGCAATGTTAATCAATATTATTTCAATATTTCAACAATATTGTGTTGCTACTTGGGAAAGCTACACAGATCATATACTCGACTTGCATTCATATTCATAAAGTATGCACCTCACCTGCTTGGTGTGCATTGCTGTCTTCATAATGATAATGTTTATAAAAAGAACTTGATCAAGGATGACGAATCTATGGTGGGTTTAATACATGGTGTCTATGACTTGAGGAAATTAGTGATAAGAAGAGTCATAACCCTAAGATCTTAAGGTCAGGATGGAAATGTAAATACCATTATCTTTCAGAGTCTATGAAACCAAACATATTGAATAATAATACATACAAATATTACATAAAAACTATTACAACAATATTAATTTATGTTAACAAAAGTAGTTTGAGCAGAACGCTTGATTCTTGAACTATAAAAGAAGTTTGGATTAGTTTTTGCAACAAGTAGCCTACTACTAACATATTAAATACTCTACCTATGGAATAAGTTAATTATTTGAACATTTTTACCATTTACAAATATGTGTAAACAAAATAAATCCTATGGTTCATGTTAAATAGTTTTGTAAATCCATACAATATTTTCTACCTTTCTACTTTGGCTGTTTAATGTGTCCGAACTAATGTACCTTCCTGTTCAGCAAAATATTGACAAAAGCTGTTATTATGTGTTGCTAAAATTACCGGGAGCAAAAATTTAAATGCAAGTAGCCATTATAAAAAGGGAAGCGTGCACTTATTTATCCATTATATTTCACTTAGATGTACTGGGAGCAAAGTCGAGGTTGAAAAGAATACAATTGTCAACCTTGAACACTGGGCGCAGCTGTAATTTGGTCATTTGGTTGAATGGTTAAAGGAAACACTATATCCTAGAATAGACTAACTATTAGTGGAACTACAGAATGCACTGTAGGTTTGTCATTGTGTATTTTTTTTAACCAAGACGAGATATGAAAGAGTTTGTGGTTTAATTTTGATACTCAAAATAATGGTTGACATCTATTTACAAACTAATCTAGTGATGTCTATATGTGTATGTGCATGAGTATTTAGCAAAAAAGGGCTTGAACGATTTTAAATAGAATTTGTAATTTATATTCCTCTAAATTCTGAACAAAATGGCACAACTCCCTTCCTGTAAAAGTTATGGTTCGAAAGTTATTTCAACTTTTGTGATATTCCCCATAAAATATAATATAGTTACTCCCACCGGCCACCGCTTACCCATGATTATAAGCTAATGGGAGAAAGTATGTGTCAGGTTGCTGTTTATTTTACCGTTTGAGTTATCTTCCCATAAATATAATGGGTATAAAATTAATAATATAAATAGTTGAAAGTGCAGATCTTGTTAATCTATAGGTGGCTAAAGAGAAAGCATTTAAAGCTCGCAGAGTTAAGGCATGATAGTTTTCAGTATATTAGACACATTTTCGAGTCTTCTTTTTGCTGAGTTGACCTCCCATAGAAAGCAAAGAATGTAATGTTTTTTGTTGGCTGTTTTTTGGCGTTTTTTGGCCTTATCATGGAGCTAAAACAATTAATGTGGTGTTTGGTCTATATTGATAAGAGCGATTTTTTCACAGGTCCCCACACATGGCACAAGATCTTTCCCCAAGCTGCTGGGCCGAGACAGTCGCCCATTGACGTCAACACGGCCCGTGTCACTTCAGACACTTCTCTTCACTCACAGCCGCTGCAGTGGCGTTATGTCCCCGGAAACTGCAAGGCGATCGCAAACCCTGGCTACTGCTGGAGACTGGACGTGAACGGAGAAGGATCAGGTGAAGGAAATTGTTTACTTTTTTTAAACACCGTACTTAAAATTCTATCGACAGACGGCAACTTAAACTGTTCATTTAGATCAAATGGTTTACCTCGAGAAGTACTCTACCTGCATCTTATGAGAATTATTGTAGGTTAAAAAGGTTACCTACTTAAGATTTGGCTTATATGACGCTGAAAAACCAGGGTAAATATTTTAAAGTGTATATGAAGCCACATAATGAATGAATTGAAGGGCAGATTTGTTACTGGTTAAAATAGCTTAGAAAAATTAAAATACCAAAAATCAAGGAGAGCTGGGTCCGTTTTTGAACCTTCAAAAAGCTTCTAGTTTTCATCAGGATAGATCTAACTGGAGTAGGAATATAAGTAGGAAATTAGAGTAGTCCGAGGAGACTATAAACTACTACATCACTTTGACTGAACTAACTAAGGAAAAGGAAAGCACCACAACAATGGTGAGAAGAAACATGTACAGATAAAAATGTTCAGTTTGTTGCTTATTTATATGTTGTATGTTTATGATGCCATTCACTACCCTAAAACCAATCACTTATTAAATCACACCCACACCTGACTGAGAGATCCACTTGAGATATCGGTATAGGTGTGGAAGAACAGTTATAGTAATGGCTCACCTCAGAATCACTCCAGGGTAGCAAGACGTTTTAGGTCTATTGGATGCAAAAGGAAAAGAAAAATTCCCTCAATGTAGGTGGAGAAGGGGGCAAATTCTCTCTCCGCTCTTAGCTCATCACATGCAAACTGCGAACCTGGCTCACCTAATAATCTACAGTCACAATTTGATCCTGAAAAAGTCAGTGGTAGTTTATTGTTCTAAACTGGGCACAGCTGTCCTTATTTGGGCCTGGCTAAAGAAAAAGCTAGTCTTAGAACGTATCCTTTATACGTTTATTGCGTTTACGTATACTGCAGTAATTTAGGTTAAAATATGTCCATCTTGTAATAAATTAGTACTAGTAAGAAATATTTTACTGGCAGTAAATTATTACTCTGCTTATTACAGTAAGCTATGATAAAAATTATCTGAAAAATTATAAAACTTGATAATTTAAATTCTGTCAAACATCTTCTCTGAGTAGTTGAGTTGAGGTTAGGTTATTTATTGTGGCAAAATTTGGTAATCTTATCTAATTTTCTGTGTCTGTGTTGGTAGAACTGAGTGGAGGCCCGCTGCAGGCTCACTACAAGCTGGAGCAGTTCCATGCACACTGGGGCCCATCTAGTGAGAAAGGCTCTGAACACACGGTGGACGGTCAAGCATATGCTGGAGAGGTTAGTACAACCACAAAGGAAATACTCTTCAGTACAACATAATTTGTGTATCAATACCATTAATAAAGAGCTTCGCTGATTTCTAGAATTTGAGGTACTTCAAAATTGATAGCTAGCGACTCCTTATCATCAACTATTCCTTCAATTCGTTGGGAGAAAATCTCCTTCTCCTTAGCCCAACGGAAAGCGATAAAAAGAGAGCATAAATATTTAGCATAATATCTTTTAATAAAAATTGTTGACACTTTTGAAAAATTCTGGTCCTGGCCATGCTATGCCTGTGCTCCTCAGTTGAATACACTTACACTTCAAAGCTTAACAAGCCACAATAGGTGTATTCCTCAAACCAAATGCACCATCTCAGGGTGTGTTGTAATTAATTGACCATCACAAATGATAAAAAAAGTTTTATTTTTATAGCTCAATATGTTTTTTATTATTTTCTTTGATATTTAGACTATCAATTTTTAGGTAAACTAATGACATTCTAGCTGAACTTAATATAAAACTTTAAAACTTTAAACATATTTATTTTCAGATAAAAACCAATACAGTGAGATAAAACCAGTGTCTCTCTAAATAAACAAGCCTTAACTCTAGCCACCTAATGATAATCGCAAAAAAATTTATATTTCAGTGTGCTGCTAGTAAAAAAAATTGATTTTATCTTGTTCTGTACTTGTTTATTCTTTCAGCTGCACTTAGTTCACTGGAACAGCGACAAATACAAGTCCTTCGCAGAAGCAGCGGGACATCCTGATGGTTTAGCTGTGCTTGGAGTGTTCTTAGAGGTTTGTAATTATTACAATTGTTATTTATTCTTCAGAGGAAAGCAGAAAAAAAGGCTAATTAATTTGCAAATTTGTTAGGAAAGTAGAAGAAACCGAATTGATAATTTTATTTATTAATACGTGTTGTGGGCAAATGTTATCTAAAGACAATATATGAAAGCTTCTTACATACTGCCATCAGAATTAGCTCTCCTAAGCAGATTGTAAGAGGGCTAGTCCACCCATAGAGACTACCCCCCTAATAACTAACATAGTTTTCATGGCAGTATTAATTATTGTTGATTTTGTGACTCAAAATTGTTTACTATAGTTCGGCCGCTTAGAAAGCAACCTCCTAGAATTGGTTTAGCATTAGCGCGCAGGTCGTTTTCTAAGCGGCCGAACTATACATACAAAAACAAATCAAAGCTGTTGTTTTAATTAATTTATTATACCGACAAAACAGTTAGTTTCATAACAAATCTGTGGAGGAGGCTGCCCTATATGAGACTGACTAGATAGGTTATTTGACATAAAAGAAGCAATTTTTAGCTTTGAAGTTAACAATTCTCAAATTAATTTGAATGTGTCTCTTACTTAGTTGTTCAATAAAACCGATACTTGTTATCTTAGAGTTCTTAAATGTAGGTATGATCAATGAATCAATACAAACCCTTTAAGAAGCAAAATGCTTATGGAGAATACTCGGACTGGAATTTTTTCGCCGAAATGAGCTTTGCGCGGCCGCCGCTATAATCGCTTACTCTATCTCTCCCTCTCTCTCTCTCTCTCTCTAAGCCAATTCTTTGACTTACCTCTCACTCAGTCATCTAACATGGCCGTGCTCTCGCGATAGTCTACATAGCGGCCGCCGCGGGAACTATCCAAAATTCAAATACTTCCAGACTGAATTCTTTACAAAGGCGTTGCGCTTCTTAGAGGGTATTTGTATTCATTGGTAGGATTAAGATGATAGCTATCATACCATAAAGTATGTAATAGAAAATGTTTTTTCCCCAGGCTGGAATTAAAGACAACGATGAACTTGAGAAAATTGTCAAACTTATTCCACACATCACTCACAAAGGACAAACAACTGACGTCTCCAACCCAGTTGATCCGGCAAAACTTATTCCTGGTAAGATTTTAGTTGGTTAGTTTTAAGTCTGTAAATAGTTTGGCGTAATTCATGTTGCAGTGCTGTTATAGTTGATGGAGGGAAACTGGTTGCTAGCCATTAACTGTAGGTTAGTACTAAGTTAGTATTCTTCTGTTTTTCAGCCGCTTAATGTCTAGTGAACATGCTTCTTCTTTTCATTAAGTGTTAAGTAAATCACATAGTGGTTTGGTCTTAAATTCTTCATTTTGGGAACACTAACTAACCAACATAGGATTGTTTATAGGATTTTTTTTGCAAAAGCAGAGTGGGCAGATCCCGCCCCTCCCCCCCCCACTACACCACTTCTGAAGCAGAATTTTAATAATTGCTCCCGAGCTTACTTTTGTTTACAATTTGCGCTGTCCAGTTAGACAACAGTACTGCAATAGGGAAGAGCTACTATAAGTAGGAGGGCTATTTTACAGAGTAAGAAAATACTTGAAAATAAAACCAAAAGTTTGTGCGGGGAAATTGATATTATGTACGATTAAAATAACAAATTGAGGCACTTGTCATAGTCATCAAAGCTGTGCTAGGTTGCAGGAAGTTGAAATCTACAACAAATGGATTTCAAAGCTCATCCATCGCTATGATAAGTGCCTCAATTTGTTTTTTTCTGTGTTGCTAAACTAGTCTTCATTTTGTAAAACAATTGTCAGTCCCTTATGGAGTAAGGTCTGGACTGTTGGATGGTTAAGGGACAATCTCCCATTTAAATTAATGAAGGAGATCTTGCATTCAAATTGCCGTGAGAAGTTTTTAGCCAATGAAACAACTAGCAGGGTTTCGAATTGTAACACACTTTCAACTAAAATTTTACAACAATGGACATACCAACAAGAATTTTGCTGTGATGATTGAGGTTTGACTATTACTGGGTAGGTAAACACATCTGTACTTGAAAATGTGTGATCTGCACGGCACACGCCTAGCCACAACTTATCAGACAGAAACAAAATAAATTTTAGAAAAAAGGAAATAAATTACAGCCTACATACACTACCTACAGTAATACATCAAAGTTTAAGTACGGGTAAAACAAATATTCATAAAAATTCATTTTATTATAAGTTATGAATAAATGCTCTTATGTTCCAGACAACAAGCACTACTGGACTTACCTCGGCTCGCTCACCACACCACCTTGCACAGAGAGTGTTATTTGGATACTCTTCAAGGAGCCGATCCCCATCTCTGAACGCCAGGTTTGTTACAAATTTAAGTCCTTAATTTCTAAAAAGTTAACAAACAAAATGTACTTTAGGTTTTATTTATGTTAATGGAGAACAAAAACAGTTACATAAACATTTTCAGGTTATATGACTACTTTTTACAAACATAGGGAATAAATTATACCGTTTATAGCTATGTTCAACCCATTACACTACTACATTGGTTAATATGTCATTCTTACTAATATTGGAAATCAATTAATTTGTTAATTGAAGGTTTTTCAAATATGTAGACAGTGTGCCCACTTCCTTTCAATATTTTCCTTTGGTTTGCCATTGTTCCTGAAGATTAAGTACATAATTCAGACCTTATTTGGGGCATCCCAAGCATTGGTTCTTCTAAATACTCCTATTTTCACATTCACTTTACAAGTATGTACAGGATCTAGGATAATTCTTACACTTATATTTATTGCAGCTATCAGTGTTCAGAAGCATCAAGCGAGTCGGAGCCGATGAAGTCCACTGCGACGCTGAAGATGCAAACATCATCTGTAACTACAGACCTCCATTGCCGCTTGGAAACCGAGAGCTTCGAGAGTGCGGCCATCATTAGAGCGGCGACCAACAACGTAGCATCACGATCTGATAGCGTAACACCCGCATTTACTCTGGGTCCACCGAAAGCCTTTAACCAATATTTATGTTTATGATATTAATTGTTGACCTTAGCGTAAGAAACATTCCTACTTTAGAGACGATGAAATTGTCAATGTGATATAGATTTTAAATATTTGGTTTATGATGAGCTTATTTTGAACTTTTCTCTAGTGGATTGGGGGGAGCGAGAATAATCAACGATGTAACAATTAGTTGGATGGGTTTCAAACCTACAAATTTAACATCACTGTTATAGATATTAAAATGATAGTTTTAAAATTCAGTTCCTCCATAAGTTTGGATGGTTGGTAGAACAAAGACTAATGAACCTTAGCAATTATATTTGTTCAAAAGTTTTGTTTCTAGCTGCCCAGTACTGTATATTCTTGCTCTGTATTTAACAGACAGACTATGTTAAGAAACATGGAGCAGTTACATTTCTACAGTTTTACCCTGCAAGGGATGTATTTTGTGATAGTTTACGATTGAATGAAATCATTAATTGATATCTTTTGAACAATCAGTAGTAGAGAAATAACTTACTTTAGAATAGGGATGCCAGATCTTTTGGCTGAAGCTGGTTAAAGCTTTAATTGTGAAAGCTAGTCCTTAGTTAGATAGTTAAAGATGTAACAGTGCTAATTGAGTTTTTGGATATTCACAAACACAATTGCACAGTTGTAGAAGTGTCCAAAATACAAGTACCAAATTGCTATTGAGTTTTGTGACCTGTGCAATATGTAATATAGTGCCTTTAATCGTGCTTGTTACAAATTGTGCTTTATGTATTGATGTAATGGAACTTTCTCGATGTGCAAGGAAATTAGTTAGACTTGTTTTTGGCGAACACATCTGCTTAGAATAGTTTACCTATACTAGTACAAATACCGTATCATTTCCTAGAATTGATTACTTGCAGACATTTTTGGTGCTGATAGATTAGTTACCTGATATTAGTTAGCTGTTTAATTTTAGGTTACGGAAGTCAATAAATTTGTTAGTTGAAATTTATTTGTTTGCTTTCTGAATCCATTTTACTGTTTAGGGTTTATAGAAAGCATCTCTCTAGAATCTATTTTACATTCACAGAAGAATTACAGGTCTTATGGGAGGTATAGTCGTGCCATCAACATTCCTGGAAAAATCGAGTTTTACTGTCATATATGTTGGGTACATTTTTCTTGCGAAGGTGCTCTAATACATTTGACTTATTTCAGTATCTTTATGAATTTTGACTATGGTATATTCAAAATCAGTAGTGAGAAGCATGAGAACAGTTAAAACGTAAAGAAGGGCGATCTAGATCCTGATGTTTTTAGGGCAAGTAGTAATGGTATCATTGAAACTCTTGGATACATAGCTTATGGACACTCTTGACAAGCAGTACAATGAACGAGGAATTAAGTATAGTTTCTTCATCCAATGGACTTCTGGAGATGTTCTTTTGTGATGTGTTTTTCATTGCATGGTAGCAGGGTTTTGGTAGCCATTAATATACAACAGAAACTACGAGGCATGTTTTTTAAGTAAGTACCGTTTTTAAACTTCTCCGTTCCAGCGCTGCGATTGGCATTTTGGACATTTGCGCTGTATATGTGCATCTATTGGCAAGCCCTAGCCGGAAATTCGACAACAATCGGCCGTGTTTACATCCTGTATCGAGCATTCAAAATGGTGTTGCCAATTGAGACTGCCGCCGACTGTGAAGTGCGCGCTGTAATTAAATTTTTATGTGCTAAAGGTGTGAAAGACATTGAAATTTGTCAACAGATTAGTGATGTGTATGGTGAGAACATTTATGAGTGACGGAATGGTATACAAGTGGGTAAGGGCATCTAAAGACGGCCCCACCAACGTCCATCATGAGCAACGCACTGGGCAGCGTCACTGTCCCCAGTACCCAGTGCGTTGCTCATCATGAACATTGGTGGGGCCGTCGCAATATACTTATAGTTGGTTCACATAATTTAGGTGGTTCTAGGGGAAGGTTTCCTGCCTTTCCCCGCCACTTTCTTACTTTAGTCTATAATATCAGCTGTTGTTTCAAAGTTAGGGTAAGGTGGAGGGAATATAGTTGCTTCCCTTAACCGCCTAAATTTTGTGAACAGAGTATTGCCTTGTTTTTTATGTAAACAATCAGGGCCGGTGCAAGGTCCCAGAACATGTGAGTCATTGGCGCCCCCGCAGTATCCAATCCCTCGCCCCACCACTTTACATGTAAACTTCTTATTTCAAAATATGTAATAGTTATAAATCCCTACAAGTTTATAAGTTAGTATAATAATATGCATCAAAGCAATCTTAGGCTTCAATATTTTCATTTTTGAGGTGTTGTTATTCAGTTGTTATTTGTTCGTCTCGTTATGTGTTTTTGAAGACTTTATGACGACCTCCTAGGAGCGAAAAACCACGTCTAGGCTTGACAATGACACCATAAGTGTGTCGAAACCGGTAGCCATTAAGTCTACCAAGGATTACGTTGGCAACAAGGTATTTAACCTCTAGATTAGCTTCAATATTTGTTTGGAAATCGTGTCTTTGAGAAATAGAGTGAAACTTCAAGAATCTTCAAGAAGGATTGAGGTACTGGAATAAAAAACTGCTTTACAATCTGTACTCTGGAATACTCCTGCCAGATATAAGCTACACAAACCAAAAGTATGAAATTATTTTCACATTTTTGCATGTTGAGTTTTAATATGTAATTAGTTATGGTTTTAGTTGAAAACATTTTCTTAACTTTGAAATAGTCCACTAAAATATACAGGAGAGTTTGGATTATCAGAAGATGGAAGAAAATGGATTATCGGACGATCAAGATTTTATTTACTTAATAAAAAATATTTTGTTTAAAAGTAACATAGCAATAAATTATGTAAAATTACAATCAAAAATATGGTAGCTAATACCATAAACGTAAACAAATATACACTGCACTATGGAAATATATAAAACATTCAATAAATTAAAATTTTAATCCTATTGATAACACAATCACAATTACTTACAGCATCAAACCTTGGCTGAAATACAAAAAAACTTTATTATTTAAATATCCTTATTTAATATGTTGGAAAATTACATTAAAGTCCTTACTGAAATATCACAATAGTTTCATGACGTAGCCTACTGATTACAATATTGGTTCTATAGCTAATTAATGAAATACTGCTAATACTATTTATAATACAAATAGTATAAAATGCAACTATTTATTTAGACAATACACATTATCTATATACACAAATATATACTTCATTGGTTCTTAAAAACTTTAGTAAGCTTATGTCAAAGAAGAGGTAAAAATTAGTTTGCAAATTCAGGGGCGAAGATTATTGAAAACTATACCAAAGTACTGTAGGCCTACTTGATATATCCCTAGCATGCAAACTCTGTGAATGATTTCTAAGTTCATTATTTTATTCATATCTATTATTTACATAAAATTTATCTAACCATAATAATGTCCTTAAGTATCTCAATAGATCAAAGGGGTGTGCGATGCATCGAAAATGCATGTAAATTCTGTTTCGATTCGATTCGATTCAGTGATTAAAAAACGATTCGATTAATGAGGGAGTCAATATACAAAAAACGCCTGTGAAAACCAATGCAATACCCGCAATACAGGAGCGCGTTGCTGTTGCGTTTCCTTTGCGAAGGCGTTCTTATTTCATTAATTCCTTGCTTGTAAATATTGCTTTAACTGTTTTATAATTGTTTGTTTTGACATTGCAAATGATGAGAAGTTTTGTTAAGTGTAAGCAGTGTAAGACATGTTTTACTCCTGTAAACATTGCCATTCTAAAAATAACACAAGTCTGAAAATTTGTTACTTGATACTTAACTAGTAAGATTGATGTTTTAGACTGATAAATTTTGGTATTTTTGTACACATCAAAACATATCTTTATCTGTAAAATCAATATTATAAAATAGGTAACAAGCTTAACAATATGATTCTGCAAGTAAAATTTATGAAATAGGCAAGTACCAAAATCAACAAAAATTTGCATTACACAAATGTGGTAAATTTGAATTAGCCTATTGTTATTTCTCTCCATAGACAAGTATGAATAGAAAATTCTGTATTGCTTTGAATCAAGTTGCATCGATTCTAATTGAAAATCTTTTGAATCGAATCTTTGCTTCAAATCTAAAATTTTTGCTGCTTCGCACACCCCTGCGAAACCTATCTTATCACTTTCTGTCTTCAATTATTTGTCATCTTATCACAAAAACCTGACCTTTGTAAAAACTTAGCACATAAAAATCATATGCTATGTAACGATTATAAATTCTACAAAACTTAACAAATTATTTAATCAACGTTCTATAAAATGTACAGAAACTATGTTAATTTATTAAACCCCTAAGAACATTTTAGTTAGATTTGAAAATCATTCATTGTGCTGTCCTCGGGGTGTACTCTACTTGCTGCCAATCTTTGCAACCTGAAACAAGATTTATAATATTGTTTGTAAATTTTTACATGTTGTCTACCAGCCGTCACACTCCTCCATATGAGGGGCTTTGTGAGACCTGGTAGTGAATTTGTTAACATATTTATCAGTAACAGATATGACACCTAATACAAGATATCACAAAATCACTATGTTGGCCCACCTAAACTTTTGCAAGCGTAGGTGCTTAATCCAAGAAGGGGTCAGGCCCGCGGTTTGCGTTCAACGCACAACCGACCCGAGAGATAATTGTGCCCCCCTCCCCTCTTTGCAGGGGAATTTTTCTCCACCTTGCGCCGCCAACAAACCCAAAACCTCTTAGGGCCCATTTACTAAAGCTGTCATGGCAGCAGGGGTTGACGCTGGGTCGGTTAAGAAAGATTCAAAGAGAACTGTTGTTCAGGTCAACATTGAATCACTAGAGTAGCCAGCAATATGCACATTAGCATATTTCCTCGTATTTTGTACAGTCTTCATAATAAATACCATTAGATCCCATTGACAGGCTCCACATTATATGTAAGCTGACTGTGCTATAGCCCCAGAGAACCAAATTTGTATGGGCTTAGAATTTTCACACCAAGGTTTTCTAATATTTCATTCCCCAGTTTGCTAAAAAAGGTACAAAACACAAAAATTAAGTTAGTATTTCAATTTCCAGGATTTATAGTTTTTGCCTTGGTATTAACAAATTGGTCGAATTATCAGGATAGTACTGCGGATAGTCGTAGTACTCACTAGTGCGGACGTTAATCCACACCAGGGAGTATCCCATCCACAGTGCATGCCTATTATCCACAATTTGTGACCTCCTAGTAGCTGGATTACAGGACGTTGCCACCGTCCCAGTCTGGTTTTCCTTACCTCCTTGGCAGGGGGGGGGGGCATCCATCCTAAACCCAGGTCTGCTCATGAAAAATCAAAATACATATTCATCGTAGAGTTATAGTGTTGCAGAAAGTTTTCTGTCTCCCACACTACCAACCTTACATGATATATCCGGATTTATATAACTTTTACCTATATAAATGAAGAAATTAACTTCCATACCTGTCTCTAGATATAGGAGCCAGGGTGACCAACCCCCCTGCAAGCACAGCTGTGAGTGCAAGGTTGGTAGCAGTTGGGCCGTAAGTCTCTAGCACGACCCCTGCCACAAGTACAGCTGCTACTCCAAACAGCTCCCCTACTGCGTTGAGTAGACCTGACGACGTTGTCTCCGCGTGAGGGAACGTCAACTCTGCTCCAAACTCATAACCGACCGTTAGGTAGCCGTTCATGAAGAACCTGCGTGGTAACTTGTGAATTAAAACTGTGGTTCAAAAATCTCAACGTTACCTTATAGAAAACTTAAAAAATACCAATGGGGTTAAAACACAAAAATAAATAACCTCAACAGTCCTCAAGGTAACTTATTGGTTATCTGAATTCGTGCAAATTTAAGTCCGCAAGTAGCACAAAGTTCAAATTGGCAATGGTAAAGTAGTGTGACTACTGAAGCTATGAGGACAGTTTATTACGTAAATGGTCCTTATTACTTAAAAAACCACCCTTATATAATTAGCACCTGGGTGTGGTTATGTGTAACTTTTGTTAAAATGCTTTATGGGATCGTCCAGAAATATGGAGTGCCACATTGAATCCTAAGTTTATTTTACTGTACAAGTTAATGATGGTAATTTTCTAAATTATTTACCGGTGAATTTCTTTATATAAAATGTTTCTTACCACAAGAGCAATAGATGAAAAAGAGATTAACAGTCTTACCCAAGGAAAGCTGATGTGAAGTAGACTAGAGCTAAGCGTTCAGAATGCAGAGCAAACGTGTATCCCAACATTCCAATCACAGCCATGATGTATATACCAACTGTAGTCTCTCTATGGAAAAAAATGTAAAAGTAATTCTATCCTAGAATGATGAAAGTGGGAATTAGTTAAATTGAAATATTGACTTTCCATCTACCAGTTGATTCAATGTTTTACTCAAATTAAACGTTGTTAAGTGAGCCACTCAAAGAGTGTGCTGTATTCTCTTTCTTGGTTTTCAGTACTTTGATAACTAGCTGATGAGGCATAAAAGATACTATAGTTTACAGTAAGTAGTTTTTTCCAATTCAGCTTGGTTAAAAAGTTGGCGTATTCATCATAAATCATAGTGAACAACTCAGTACACTATATCAAGCTCAATTTAACAAACATCAATTTTTATTCAAAAACTTGCGACAACTTTACCCCAACTTGTGACAACCTTAAACCTTGTTTGTGTGAAATGTCTAGTTCTCTCAATTATAGTTAAAGCTTCAACGAATGAGAATATTGCGTCTTTATTCCATCAATTACCTTTTTGGTTTTTGTTGCTTTGAAGTTCTTGTTGATTTTTGATACCTGATGTGCATTTCGCCGCAGGTGGTGGCATCTTCAGAGTTCACTATCCTACACTTGCATTCTAATATATACACAGTTTATATACACGAGAGTCACTGTACCGGTTCACATCGTAGCGTTTACACTCGCGGCGCAGCGGGCGTGTGTTGCGAGCGCGGGGTGTTTACTTGTGCCGGGACCGTTGTTAGACTGACAGAAACAGTGTCTGGTGGATGGACGGGTTGGGGTGTGGATTTCCCAGAATTGTTGTATCTGCGACGTTGTACATAAACTCTCGTGTATATAAACTGTGTTAGAATGTAAGTGTAGGATAGTGAACCCTGAAGATGCCACAACCTGTGGCGAAATGCGCATCAGGTATCAAAAATCAACAAGAACTTCAAGGCAACAAAAACCAAAAAGGTAATTGATTAAAACTATTCTTGAAACTGGGTTATCTTATAAAGTCTTCTTTCCATAGTGAAAATATAATATCATAATTTACATTAGATGTGACTTACTTATACATGTGAGTCTTGTCCAGTACCACGCCCCAGACAACTGAGCCGACCATTCCTCCGAGGATAAGCGTGAGACCGACTCTGCCTGCGTTCTCGAATCCCCACTGTTGTGCAGAAGATCATTAATGTACACAATTAATTCTCTAACAACATTTTATAAAATAGTTTCATTGGATTAAGTGTTTTCGTATTTAAATCTTTCAATGCTTGTTTGAAGTACCAAGGCATATAGTAAGTGTAAGAAACGTATTGAGCAAAGCAGGATATAAGCTAGAAGCTATGAGAGTGGGACATTTTTTAATTCGCAACAAAATTCAATCAAATCTAAAATCTAACAAAAAAATAGGATTAAAATGTCAGAGGTATGTTCAAAGAATCGGTTCCATTTTCCAGTCCATGTTGACAATGTCAATGGTGTGTACAGGCAAACATTTCATTTTAATTTATTCAATGGATAACTCAGTCAGTTTCAGACGTTGTGACTTTCAATGCACTCCTAGTATTTGTGTCACATAATAACAGTACATAACAACAATTTTATAGTATGCTATAAAGGACTCAGCAATCTATTTAAAACTTACAGGTAGTCCTTCCAGCTGTTGGTTAAGCAAGGTGGAGTAAGCGTAGAACACACCGATGTTGAATCCAAAGCTGACCAGAAGCAGGGAAAAGTCTGAGTTGCCAATCACTTGTTTGACAGAGGTGAGATAGTTTGTGTCTTTGCCTTCTCTCTCCTTCTTGCGAGAAATCAGCTGAGCAACACTGGGAGGAATTGGTGGTTGGGCTTCAAACACTGCAAACCATAAAAGCAATAAGAACCAAAGACGAGTAATGCAAAAGATAGAGGATGTTGATATATAACCCCTTGAAATATTTCATTTGGAAATTTAACTATCGAGCTACCAATTTTTACTATACTTTCTCTCATTTCTACTTTTCCCCCCTATACTACATAGTATATGAAGAAAGTATTGTTTTCATAAATATTTATGAGTTTGAGCGGATGTATCTGTTTTGGGTACCACTGAACCCAAAAAAGGTGGTTTTTGAAAGTCATGTTCTGTGTGGGTGACACCTGTTTGATTAAGTTTGGTGGGTGGGTAGGTAGGCCTACTGTTTCATAGTATCTCCAGTGATCAGTGCCATTTTCTCACCGCTCACAATATGTATCAACATTTGTATAAAAGAGGGTATTTTTCCAACATCTCAGAAATGTTCAAGGGTTGTCCCATAGTCTTCAAAAAATTACAGTGTTCAATCAAGGTGTGCCTTTGATATTTTATCAATCCTATTTGTGTGAAAGGACATACATTTTGCCGATGCAGAGGGTGAGCAATCGACTGAGCGGAACTGAAAACAGGCATGCCTCAGGGCTCGATTTTGGGTCCATTATTGTTTCTTTTATCAATAGTAACGATTTACCAGCTAATGTATCAGCAACAACAATGTTTGCTAACTATACATCTTTTTTAGTGTAGGTGTAATAAGAAATGATCTTTCTCACATTTCTGAAATAACTTTTAACTGCTAAGGAATGTTTTGCACATGGTCTTGTTATTAATGAAAATAAAACACAGCGTTTAATCCGTCAAGCAAAAAAATAGACATGACATTTCTAATAAAACTATATAGGTAATATAAACATTCTTGGGATTGTCATAGATTATAATTTGACCTGGTTATACCACACCACACATTAAATCTGTTGTGTATCTACTTATGAGTTTGAGTAACAGTATAAGTTACCTCATTATTATTGACGTCAAGCATATATTTTGCATTTTTGTATTCAATTTTAAAAAGCTATATGGCAATTTTTTGTGGGGAAGAAGTTCTCATGTACGTGAAATTTTGCTGCTGGCTGGTTGGTAAAGAAATCATGTAGCCTACTTTCTTCAAGTACAAGATTCACTAATTTAATCCAAAGCGGGAAAGCCCCCAGTGTGGTATTAAGGTACTAAGTTGTTGGCATTGAGGACGGACCCCGGAATCAAAGACTTTTAAAACAAACTACTATATCTAGTTATTTTGGTTTATACCAGTGTGATCGTAAACTTACATAAGACAATCAGGATTAGTACAATGGTCGGTGCCAGAGCCATACCAAAGTACAGCAGTTGAAGTTGTTCTCCGATCAAGAACTTGTCTTTCACATCGTCCACTATTGCAGGTGGCACCAGAAACCCAATGGCAATCCCTAGCTGAAATACCAAACCATGTCACTCCGTAAACAACACATTGACAAGGATAAAGTTGATGTGTTAAAGAACTATTCCATCTTCAAGGTATTTACCCTTTGATTTGGGGAGAAGTAATGGAACAGATAACGCCCCTTTTCAAGAGTGGTTTGCTTAGTTATTATATTAAGTGTACTGGTCACCTAATTAACAATACCTATAGTTATCTTACATCTTCATTTCTTATATCAAGTCTCCTAAAAGTAATGTTAGTCTGTGGCACGGAGTTTGAACAAAAAAACTAAAATGGTCTTAGAAATTCAGGCAGTTCAGTATAGTGTGAATTTCAGAATGACAGGTACATTAAAATCAAGCATAACCAAACATATTAACAGCAAGGTTTAACATGATTGTATCAAGTAATAAGAACCATTAAATTGACTAGTAGAACAACTCATGAGGCCTGCTTGCTTGAGGTATGTTGGCCTACAATTATCAACTATCAATTGAGATGGGGACGCCACTGACGCCATTGAAGGATGAGTGTAGAATGGAGTGAGATGATCTGTGTAGCTTTGTTACTGACTATAACCAGTGCAATATCATCTGCTCGCATATAGTGTCTCTACACAAAGCGTTTTGCTAATCCATAGTAATTAGGACCCAACGCTGTTTGGATTACCAAGTTTCCAAAATGCTTTTAATGAATTGAGGCTCAGCCATATAATATTGGGAGTTATTCCAAATTTCAATGTTTTATACAAAATTCAGTTGCAGTTCAAAGACTTTTCCTGGTCTTAAACTGAAAATGTTTGTGCTATTCCCGGTTTTCCAGGTTTGCTGGATGGACACACTGGTTAACATTTCAGAACAGGACCTACCCATGTAGCAAGCAATGTATATAATACGTAAATATTCGGGATTAAGGTATAACCAACGTATATGTATTAATGATACAGATAATATACATATTATATACCAATATGAAAATACGGTTTCATCCTAAATAAATTTTGCATAAAATACTGTAAAATGAAGAAACAAAGTGTAAATTTTCACCTAAATGTTGTTTTGAGGGCATAAATTAACTTTCGAGAATGCAGTAAAATAAGTAAAGGTATTGATGATACAGATAATATATGTATTTTATATCAATAGAAAAATACGAAAAAAAATGTAGTGTTGTATTTATTTCCCTGCATTTTTTCAACATCCTGTGTAAAATGTATTTGTAACACATGTACTATAATATTCATAGATGATGAACAAAATATTCTGCCGCGCGAGATACCCATTCAAGTCTCTTAGGTTCGACGATGTTCGCTGATGCATTATGGGAGCAAAACAGCGGGGGTCAGCATCCGATCCGCCACCGCCATATTGTTTGTCTAATGTCTTTGTCTCACAACTCACAACTCGCAACAAACGTTGTCCTTGTGGCAGTGTTTAGACTAGAGCATCTACTTCTGATTTTCAGTGTTACACGTGAAGAATTCGTTGTTTTGTTATTATTTACTTATTAATTAGGTCTATTAGTTACTTTTTACTTTATATTCTTTAAGATTTGCGTTACATCTTCGACTTTTTAACTTCAGTGGCGATTCGACTAACTTGAGTTGGTAAGTTACACAAATTATTATCGTTATTGTAAGTTATTAAGAGATTTAGCATATGTTTTGTTAATAACTCGAATGGTGGTAATCTAATTTAAATACTTTATAAGTGGAAATAGGTTACAAATTAAGTTAGCCTTCCTAACCCCTTAAAAACTCTATGGATGGAGGCTCTTTAGGGAAAAATTAGGCTGTAGTTTACAAAACTAAGGAAGCCAAATTCAGGAGATAACCTAGACCTAATTCATTGCAATATGTCCTTGGTCTGAACTAATTTAGCTTGGAGACAAGCTAGGCCTAGGTCTACTTAACAAATTACAAATACCGTAGCTAAACTTATGCCTAAGTTACTTAGAACCTGTCATAAGTTAGCCTAGGCCTAACTTACAGTTAAGACTAAAAATGATGTTAATTGGTAAGTTTATGTTAAAATTCAGGCCTAGTCTTGTAGGCAGATGAATATTTTAAGACCAGAAGGGGGTAACTTAACTTACAGTTCCGAAGAGAACCTGTGATCTGTGAACAGATGGATGACTTAATGATAAATATCTTTGGTAGGCTAAGTTAAATTAAATGTTTATTCTTCTTCCCAATGTAAACATCAAATTGACCTATGATTTGTTTTGCCTACGTTTCTATCGATATTAACTAGCCTATAAGCATATTTAACCACAAACAAAATATAGTCTGAGACGGTAACTTACTAGCAAAATATAGCCTAACCTATTTAATGAAAAAGCAACAAAAGAAAACATAAAGTTAGCCTCTTAGGCCTATAACTTAATGTATAAGCTAACTGGGAAAATTAAAGTCAATGCAATATTAAAGTTAGGCCTAAACTTAGGCCTAGGCCTATGTTAATATTTATAAAAATATTGATAAATCGTTATTGATCTGATAACTTAATAAGATCGCTGGTTCTCTGCGGAACTGTAACCCCAGAAGGCTGCAGCTTTATAATTAGGCCTACGTCCTTCAAAACTATCGAAAGGAAATGTCAAACAAATAACTTAAGGTGCCGCATTTGCGATCAGTAGGTTATGGTTAGGTTAGGTTTAGCTACCGGTATGTTTTTTTTTGTTTACGATTAACTTAGGTCTAACTTATGAAACAACATCGCAGCTACCTACGTTTAGTAATAAACTTGAACGAAAGTTTGCATAAGTCAAGAGTAATTTTTATCAAGGCTTGGCACATAATAGCCTAGGGTACGATTTATTTATAGATGGCACTTTGAAGGGTAACAACGCTATCAAAATGTATATCAAATATGCCTATGACATCACAGCTGTCTTTCTAAGATCTAAGGGATGAAAGTTTTAACTTACCCAGTACCGCGGTTAAAAATGGGCTCTGGTCCAGGGGCGCAAGAGTTTTTTTTTGTTTTGTTGGGTGCGCTAGTAACAGACACTAATTGGAAAATATCTGAAACCTCCTCACTTCGTCTTCCACTCATGACTCATCACTGCCACTGTTTGCATATTAGGCCTATCATTAACTATACTTAATCGTCTGTCTTTATTTGTAGGCTATTTGTTATGTCCTTTTTTCATTATACTCAATGTCAGTTGCTTTTGTCAAATGGCGAGAAACTTATTACAGTATCAATTTGTTAGCAAGTAAAGATACTGGCCGTGTTTTTGCTTATGATTTTATTTACGTTTGAAGAATGTTATTTTACGTTGTGATATCACACCCTTTTTCTGTGAAATGAGCAAAAAACCAAGTAGCAGTGAGTTTCGAAAGAGGGCGGCATAAAAGATTCGTACGGTAAAAGTGTTACAAAAAGTTCCTAAAATAAGTAGCCTAGTTTTTACGGTCATTAAAATCATTTAGGCCTAAATGATGATGTGTACATATAGTGATGTAGGTAAATCTGAAAATGAACTTTGATGATGTTAAGTTATTGACGAGTTGGCCAAAAAAAAAATGTAGAAAAAACCAGCCATTTTACGGTATTGACTTTTTGGAGTTTTAAATGTTTGCAATTATAACTTATATAAATTAAAACTATGTTTTAATTCACACTTTTTTACAACTAAACCAATTTTACTTTTAAGAACGCACCATTGGAAATATAAGTGTGTACGGTATGTAAGTAACAGTTAAACTTTAATTGATGGTTTACGCAGGGCCGGTTCTAGGAATTTTTCAGAGTTAAGCGAACACCCGAATCAGCGCCACTTAGAATTCCCCTCCCCCCCCCAAACCCATGAACATAACTTAACCGTATTTGTGAATTTTTTTCCAATAATTTTGGGAAGAATTTTTTTATAAGTTTAGGTAGAAGAATACTAACTTGCAATAAAAGGCTGTTTATTATTCGCAGAAATGTGACATTTATACACCTTTACTAATCATATAAACTATAGCAAAACCAAGGACACACTAAAAAAACAGGCCGTAATGTAATGCTCGTCAAGCATGACGTCACGATAGAAGACGGCAATGACGTAATGTTTGCCGTTTGTGATCAGCTGCTTGTTTTAATCTTTCATTGGAAAATAAATAAATAAATACCTACGCCATTGCCGTCTTCTATCGTGACTTCTTTGGGCTGAATGGACTCGCCACCAGATGATTTCTACAAAAGTCTACTCATTGATTTGGCTTTTTTTTCTTCCTCTTTCAAATTCGCCTTACGCTTTCTATGATAAGTGCCAGACGGTTTCTTTTTTTTCTGCCATTGTTTTCATAGTTTCGACTCGCAATATGTTTTACTCATTTATTCAGTTTATACTTTCTTTTTATTTAATGCGCTAATTATAAATTAAACTTAAAACACTCGTAATAATTCGCTTATCAACAATCATGAATCATCAAAACAATGCCAATACGATACCGATACGGTATAGGCCTACGCACGATTACTAGAAAAATACCGGTATGGATCATAAACATAAACAAATGACGTTTTTGGCCCGAAAATAAACATTATTTAACATTGCTTAAATGGAACTGCCAAAACATATGTTCAATGCTATTAGTATAGGATTCGGGCCAACAACGTCATTTGTTTATATTTATGATCCATACCGGTATTTTTCTAGTGGAATCGCGGGCCTACGTATATAGACTAACTAAAAGAGTGCAATACAACGTAGTGCTCTGCTCTAGGATCAGAGGCAGAAAGGAGTGAAAGAAAGGGGAAGTATCTTGTTGTGACAAGTGGCGCTGCGCGCTTGCTTATCTCGAGCATGAGTGATTCGTGAAATGAAACCCTAGGTGCCGCGCTGGCGCTGCCGACTGCCGAGCGTCAGCTCAGTTCAAATCGAAACTGCAAATGGCATTGAGTCCTTGAGTTGTAGTGCTGTACAAGTATACAAAATTTTCAAGTGCTGTTGGTACAAACAGAATAAATGCCTTTATTGTGGTGCTTTGAATACATGAACTCTGAGCAAAAATAAACAAAATTACGTTGTTCACGTAAAAAAAATGTTCCGTTGGCGCCACGGCGCCACTTTTTCGTGGCGCCATATGCGGCCGCGTAGTTCGTGTATGGGTTAAACCGGCCCTGGGTTTACGTTTTTAGTTACTAAGCGGGTAATTCAATTAACAATCAAAAGTAAACACAATGAGTCTTCTTATATTTGTTAGGCCTATATTGCAGATGCGCGAGCAACTCATAAAATGTCTATATTCATTTTATAATTCAAATCAATGTCGGCAGGGTGGGGGGGGGGCTATGAGCGCAACTATGACTTGGGCCCATAGCGTATCACATAACTGACCGCGGGCCTGAACTTACCCCCGAGTGTAGATATAACTTAACCTAAAAATACAGAGGAGTGTGACGGCTGGGACTGAACCTGCTAAGGGAAAAACTTAAGAATTGAACTCACAGTCAACTGTGTATAAAATATAATTTGCCCGTTGATTTTCAGTGGCGTAACAGAAGGGCCCGCAATGCGGGGTGCCCGGGAGCTGGGGGGGGGGGGGGGGCGGTGGGCAGAGAGACCCACTAATTTGTTTAGGGTACCACTCTGTTTATGATTAATCTGTTTGATCATTGTATCGGTGGTCCTAAAATAGCTCTGGGGGGAGGGGGAGGGTGATTCACTATGTTGAATCGGTGGTCTAAAATTAACTCATAAGAGGGGGGCCCAAAAAATAAGTTTACAGGGGGGCCCGTAAAGATTTGTTACGTCACTGTTGATTTTGTTGTGCTAAATAATGTATGGAATCTCGAACGTTTCTTTTTCTAAATGCTGGGCCCAAATACACTACTTTACTTCTTTGCATTTGCCCGATTTCGAGCAACATGTAGGCTAGGCCTACACTAGTTTATTATAAATGAAGGTCCTATAATCTAAGCTTCTTACAAACAGATTTGTAAACTTAAACTTTTCTGCCATCCTTGTTGAAAATAATAATATACCGTACTTTTAAACAAAAAAGCTTTTTATAAAACACCAGACTTGTTAAACTAATATAATAGTAATAGAGGTTGAAGAGTTAAGCATTTTTATAATGTGTTTCAGGTCAGTTATCTTCGCACGGTTGGCGGGGCCAGTGTTGAGGACTCAACAAGACGGATCCTTGTAAGACTATTCAAAAATGAGCTTGCGAGAGAATTTAGTTGGGAAGGAAGAGGAGGAAAGAAGTGGAGTCTGCAGAACTCTGCATTGGTGCAGTTGATTTGCCGTAAGTTTTTAACATTTGGTTTATAATGTTACTTTTATTTATTCTTTCAATGATAGGCCTATATTTGACATTTATTTATTTTTCTATAAAGTCAACTCAACCAAAGTAAGTAATTCATTTTTTAACCCTGTTTTCACCATCATAAGTTTTATTATTTAACTAATAATTGGTATGTACATATACGTCATACAGTAGCCTACATTTACTTCATACCCCCACTTGAAAATGCCATTCTGGGGAAACATCTTGTTATTCTTTACATACATTTTTAGCAGTATGGCGTAAAGTTACGTAACAATTATTAGTCAATAAAAAGGTTCAGGGGCTAGATCAATGTATTTTAATTATATTAATTTATCATCTTATAATTAATTATCATAGGCTATATAATATTAATTTATGATGTTACACACATTTTTTGTCTGTAGAATGTACCGTACCTATCCTTTTTTTCTGCACTGTACTCTTTAAACCTCTTCAATACTTTGATTTCTTGGTTGCAACTTGTTAGTTTAGCTCAAAAAGAAACGATTTTGCTTAACATGTTCAGTGCGGCAGGCATTCCAACAGGCGCTCGCCAATGGCGGCGAAGCCCCGGCGCGGTGCCGTACCAACAGCAAACGCAATTGGCATTCAAATATTTCAATCTGAAGAAAAACAAAAGAGCAGCGGCGATTGTACTACGTTACCCCGAGATTGAACGTAGTTCCCTAAAACACCCAAAGGTAGCAGCACTGCCTGGATCAGTAGTCAGTGGCTTTGTAATATGGCTTGAAGCCATATTAACTTTTGGGGCGGTTGTATGGCCAAAACCGGTACAAAAGCATTGTCAGACGGGATTTTACGGGAAATTTTAGTACCAACCTACACCAAAATAAAGCTTACATTCTAAGCTACGGGCTAGCAACGATTTTAACGTTCCCCGGCAATGGCTGAGTGCATACTGAACTAATGTAGTGCGGGTTGCGCAACTACATCAATTGATGTAGGCCGCTCGTGTCGCGACTACATCAATTGATGTAGTCAGCGCTAAACGTGTTAAAAAAATGTTAAAAATGAATTAATCTAAGTTTTGCCATCAAGAAAACAAAGGATTGATTACCAAAAGATATGTTGCTCTAAGCGTGAATCTTGTGCGTACCCTAATATTACCTTATACACAGGAATACAGACATTGACACAAGTGTGAATTTTGTTTCAGGTGTAGTTCGTCAACAACATCCTCATTCGATCTCACAACGTTTGAGAAAAAAACCAGCGAATGGTTACGCCAAGCAGGAACAAGGATTTATGTCAAAAATAAAAATTTAGGCCTACCGCAGATGATCAATTAAATCGTTTTTTCTTGACATTTCTTCATTGTTTCATTTATATGTTCCTTTAAAAAGTGTGTTAATAAACAACAGAAACAATTTTATAAAAACAACTTTTATACTTGAATGTATTAGGGTACTTGTGATTACATCTGAACAAATATTTTTACTCATTTTTTGTATTTTTGTGCATTTATTTTTTGTTTTTTTATTGTGCAAGTATTTTTTGTGCACAATTTAGAATAGGTCTAAAAAGTTACTACAAAATCTATTATTATTTGTTGAGCCTAGCCTTCTTGTTTTCTCACATTAAATAAACAACAGGGAAAATGGAAAACTAAAAAAACAACATTTTCATGCAAGAATAAGATTCAGTTAAAAAAACTAGAAATTATTCATCAGTTGTGAGAAGTGAGTTAGTATTTTTTTTACACTTTCAGTTGTTATAATCATACTGTATTATTATTAATAATAGGTTATTTTTCTAAACTATTTAAACTTAATCTTCTTAACATTCAAGCTAGTTATTACTATTAATTATTATCAGCTGAATAATGCTTGGTAATATAAACACTAATATAATAATTAACATATTATTATTTACTTTTTTATGCAAATAAATGCACTATCCAAAATGCTTGTTAAGTGGTACCTATTCTCAACAAGATAATTTAATAAGTTTCAAATAAGTTTTAATAAGTCTCAAATAATCTTCAATGTACGATAATTAAAAAAAATTTAAAGCTGGCTTGGTCTCATATTTGTTAAGGTAGTTGCCATATTCTTTATCTTCCTAACTTCATTAAAACACATATTCTTTAAAGGTAAAATCATTTGTTTTTTTGTGGCTGCTACCATTGTTAAGGAAGTCTACAAAAATTGCATAATTCTCTCATTCTTTGGTTTGATTATGATATGAAAATAAATGCTGATAGCTAGCCTACACCAACAATATAACATTACATTTTGCATACTGTATTGTAATGATGTAGTAACTGTAATAGGTGCTCTTTCCCCTTCTAGACTTTCACTAGGGCCCCTCTGGTTCACCTTAGGAGCTTTGGATGTGATCCGTACCCCGAGGTCCTACGGGCCTGCTTCAGATGAAACTACTGAACAGCAGTAGGTTGTCCCTAAACTAGATCAATTAGGTATTTACCTGACAAATCACAAAACACATATTTCTAATGAAGACTTAAAATATTGTTTTACCATCATACAACACACCAACCCTCATGACACATAGTTCACCTCCCATAACAAATGCCTTCAAAGAAAACTGTTAGTAAAAATCAATGTATATAATTTTATATATTGATTTTTATGACAATTGTATTTTGAGCCACTTTTTATTAATATGGCATCAAATATGTATCATCTATGTATAAAATATGTATTTTATATATTTAAGGTATGCATCAATTTCTATCAAAATTTACAGATTATATACAGATGTATAATATGTATCATATCTGTAGTTGGATCCTTATACAATATGCAAATAATACATATTTAGGTGGGACATATTTACAGATACAATCTGTATTGTATACATTTCTATACAGATTGTATACAAAAGCTATACCATGCCGGTAGGTAAATTATACGTATTATATACATATTTGTGCTACTTGGGTAATTTACATAGCGTTGATATATTAATTTAAATACAACTTTTTTCCTGAATTAGTGGTTCAGATTAGCGACCCTGTTCTGCTCAACTATCAAAGATTTTTTAATTTTGCCAGAGTACTATTATTAGTTATGGAAGCAGAATTCAGATAGTTTGAAGAATCTCACCTGATTACCAAATACGCCGATGGCACAGGCTGTAGATACTTGGTGAGCCGGGAACCACACAGCCGCCAGTCTAGAAGGCACTCCTAACGTGAACATCTGAGCCACTCCTACCATAGTCTGGCCCAGGAACGTCAATGCAAATCTAGTAAGAATAAAATAGCATGCTGTATTTGTAAAATAATGCGTTATCAAAACACAATTGATAGAGTCAAAGGTGGATTTGTGCCTGTTTCAATACCAAGCAAGTCGATTCTGGAGATGCCATTCGTCAATGATGGGCTATCAATGAATGAAGCTAACAAAAGATTGATGTTAGATGGTAAGAAGACCATCTTGTTCCGTTCGGACCGATCCTTTAAAAAAACTGTAAAAGATTTCATGCCACATAAAAACACACAAACACAAAATATCAAAACAAAATTATGCAGGACCGAATGTGTTTTAGTTGTACCACAGAGAAGTAAGGAATCAGAGGATATACTCCATGGTGTCTAGCACTAGTACTGGTGTCTAGGGCAAAGTCCAACTATACCCACTTTAGCCTCGTGTACTACAACACAATGCTAGCGGTGGAGGCCTATCCCTGTGCAATAGGAATTTCCACACAGTGTTTGCTGTTTGGGCTGTTCCTTGCTCATGATAAGTATATTTCCCGCACATCATACCAGAGCTGTACGGTTGTACCATAAGCGTGTTCCTTTGTACCTTATTTCTCTGTGGTTGCACAGAGCTTATTTAATCCATGTTACCAGAACAGTTCGAGGAGTGCTATACTGTATTAAGACTCTAATCTCAACATCAAATTCTGTATCAAATTATTAAGCAAATTTCAACGGTTTTTACTCAAAACAACATTTGAACATTTCAAAACAGTAAAATATAATCTAACTCATTAACTATTATAACATTTAGTTGAGAGCAATTGTTTTCTCTTACCTGTCAGGCTGAGCAGAAAACACTTTTATCCAAGCACCAACACACATCAGTAGGGCTCCTAGGATCACTGCAACTCTCAAACCCTGAAACACCAAATTAATAATGACAAAATATAATAATACTCCCCAAGTTTTCGCGGATATATTAGAACTTAAAAGTCCGTTCACAAAATTTAAGTGGTTTGAGAGGAAGTTCCCCGACTACTTTTTTGCTTTATTATGATGTAGTAAATAATCCTTTATGCATTTTTTCAGCATGAGTGGCATTTCCAGGGGGTCTTCTTTTCTTACATCACTAACACTAATGACTGTAATAGTTACAAAACCTTTACACAGAGCAGAGTTGTGGTGTCGGGTGGTGGTTCTTCCTTTTTTTGACTGGGGTTGTTGGTATGTGCACCTTTCGATAGGATAGGGGGTTTGAAGTTTTATTAACAACACTATAGTCATTCCATTCTTCACGAAGGTTATAGCCAGTTTAAGAATTTAAATTATAAATTTATGAGTTAAACTCTGTGCGCTACTAACAAAGTGCGCTGATCTGAATTACTTTTTATACCCAGGTGAAACTGAATGGCACTTCTTCTGAATGGGCAATTGAAAGTGAGGCCCTGGAAATGGAATCCCCATGGGACGAGAAAGGGGAGACCCTGTGACACTTGGAGAAGAACAGTAACAAAGGTAGCCGTGAGTTTCGGGACGACGGGGTCAGCTGAGAGATCTGGCGCAGGACAGGGATGGATGGCGAGCTCTTCTGGATGCCCTATGCTCCCGCTAAGGAGCGACAGGAAGTAAATTAACGTGAAACTAAATGGTTATAAAAACAATTTGCCCATCTCTCTCATACGGATCAGAGGCATAGAAAATAAATAAGAAAAATGAAACGAAACTAAGTGTATATGAATATAAAATTTGAAGAAAAATTTATGAAACTATATGTGATCAAGGGACAACACATACTGTTGTCATCCAGTATGGAGAGGAAACAACAGCATAGATATAATTGGGGAAATTAATCAAGTACCGAACAATCAGATGGGCCGGACACGTATTAAGAAGAGGCAAAGAATTCAAACTGAGAAGAGTAGAGGGCAATGCGGTTGGAAGGTGACCTCATGGAAGACCAAAACAGGGATGGTGGAAACAAGTAAAAGTGCAGTAACGGACCGGATATCGTGGCGAAGATTTAATTGTTTGTGCGGTTAAATTTCACCTCCGATATAAATGGCTCTAGGAGTAAGTAAGTAATTAAGAATCTGAATGGATGACTAGCACATTTCATGCCAGATCAACTACTACAGTGACACAAATTAAGGGAGGAAATAGAATGTTAGACAGTAGTATGTTTTATCAATTATCAATTATCAATTATTTAAGATGGGGACGCCACTATGTGCGTATTTTAACCCAAATATGAGTGAAGGATGAGTGTAGGATGAGTGGCGCGATCTTGTAGTCTTGTTAGTGACTAAGGCCGACATGTTCCTTAGACACAGCTGTTAATTAATAGCCCATACAGCTAATGGCAACTAAGGGACCTACAGTTTATTGTGGAATCCGAACCACATTTTTTCCTCGTAATTAACGAATTGGTCTAATTATTTAGGATAGTACTGCGGATAGTCGTAGTACTCACTAGTGCGGACGTTAATCCACACCAGGTAGCATCGCATCCACAGTGCATCCCTATAATTATCCACAATTCGTGACCTCCTAGTAGCTGGATTACAGGACGACGCCACCCGTTAGCTGCTCATTCAAATAATTCCTTCTTATATACAGAAATTGAATACAGCTGGTCCTTTATAGATAGGATTTCTACTTCAGTAGGCTATCCAAAATTCAATACTTCCACTCTGGCAATATTATTATGCTTACACTAAACATTACCTTCAAAGAAAATAACAACAAAATGTACCTTTCTCTCCAAAATCCACGAAGCAGGGAAGACCAATGGTATGTAGACAGCCATGAATATCATAGACGTCCAGTTGATATAGATGGCGCTGACATCATAATAGTACATACACACATTGGCTATGATGGAATACTGGATCCAGTGGGCTGCATTGGCGCAGGAACATAGAGCAAATAGAGTCAGCACAAGCCATCGCCTTCTGTATACGCGACAGTGCTCCCCCATCACTGCAATCAAGGAGGCTGAATAATAAATTAATGTTTTTAAGAATCCTTGAAATATTATCTCAAATAAGGTTTCTATGAGCTAACACTGCAGAAGCATTTGAGCACATTATCTTAACACATGCTGAGATTTGTATTCTCCTGCATTTAATTGTCAGAGGTATTTTATAATAATATTATTTTGAGGAAACAATCAAAACCCTAATTTGGACATTCATATGGTCAATATATTTTGGAATTTTGCTTCATGAGAAATAACAATTAAATTCAGAACAAATCTTTCTTCAGATCAATTGGCATTTTTCATTGAAAGACCTTAACAACCCAATCAAAGTACCGTAACAACTGGGATAGCGACATTTTGGAAATGTTCATCCCAAGTTTGGTTGATTAATTCGGTTTACAACTTAATGTCTTGTTCAACCAAACAAACATTCAACTAATAAAACAATTTCTGTTAAACTTTAAAAAATATATTTTTCTGCTTTTGACTAAATAGAATTATTATGTTATAAGAGGGAAATTAAATGCTCTAACTTTACATAAATCCTTAAAGTCTCAGAATGTTGCTAGCTTAGTGTTCAGCATTTCAAATTTATGTGTCCTAGGAGGATGTCCACACAAACATTGAGTAGTTTGAAACGTAGTGTTCTCTTTTGCAAAATACCACTCACATTGATATAAAAAAAAATTATAAATTAAGTTACCAAATAAACAGTTCTGCAGAAATAAATCTACTAAGAGTTAACTAAACATCTACATGACTAAAGTACACCCTCTCTAAACTAGTTCATGAATTGATTGTAATGACAACTACTTCATATCTAGACATTGATCAACACCGAATATCACAGTCAAACAAATAATTTATAGAACAAAAAAAAATATTGTAAGTCATTTAAATAGAACAATACATTACATGGAGCAAGCCATACCTCAAAAATGGACTTCACCCAAGCACCCTCTTCTACCGTAATTAACAATTTTCCGCTACTCTACCGGTGTTATACTAGGTTGATAAGTACCAAACAAGCAATAAGTAGCAATAGGTGATATTGAGAGGTAACCAACTTGTGGCTGAGATTACATCAACCTTGTTTCAAGTGCTTCGTATCAGAAACAACAGTTGTTGCTGTTCACCTCACGTGGATAAATCTTTACTAAATTCATTAAACACTTCAGTGTGCTACTGTTTGATGAATGTGCTAGATATTTTTTGTACTAGGCAAAGTTATTATTTTTAATAAATATTGATAATTGATATCAACCCAGTAAATGCTGCGATAGTTATTGCCCAACAACTTTTTGCGTGATCATATAATGTAAAATCGGAAATTCCGTTAATCTAGTTTTTTACTCAACGTTAATTTAAATTTTCATTACACCATAATTCCTGTGAAGAAAAACTTATCTGTTGCATTTAAATAATGGTGTATTTTATTTTGTTATGAATGCAAAATATTTTCTGGGATTAGTACACAATAATAAACACTATTAATAATTAATCACAAGTGACATTTTGGATTGAGAAATAGTTTATCCTTCTTAATGGAAAGCAGTCGACGAAGATCTTAGATCTAAGCCCTTCAATTTGTTGTAATGCCGTGGATTGAACCCGTTTCCTCCATTGAAGTTTTGAGGCATTTAACCATTCGGTTTGTTAGACACATATGCTTAACTATTCAAAAACAAATAGACACAAATGTTTTCATCACTAGACTCGGCTAATACATATGGCAGTAAGGGGAGTGACCTAGGCAGCATAGTAAACTTGGCATGGGGCAAACGTCCAACTGGCAAAATGTCAGGCATTGGCAGAGAGGATCGTGTCGTAAACACTGACTAGACAACATTACAAGTTGAACATTACTGTCTGTATGATGGAACAAGTCTTCTGGCCCTCTGTCTACCTAGGACTGGCCCAGGCCTGACCATTACCATCCCCAGATACAGGTTTCATCAAACAGAGTATAGATGAATCGAGCTTACTGCTGTCACAGTAACATAGGCAGGTTAACACTTTATGATTATTATTGTAAAATCCCCATTTTTCAAGTACTTTTATGCTTGCTTAAGTACAACAGTATATATATTTTTTAACCTTTCGTCTCCACCCTCTTATGTACTTCATGATAATATTCTGATTGAAATATCTACATAAATAACATTTCTCGGTATTGTTGTTCCAACGACTGTAATTCTTTTAAATGTAATGTGCTAGTATAAACTTGTTACTATAGAGTTTTCTTCAATCAAAAATCAAAACAGATTTAATTAATTATTCTGTTTTATTATGAAATTCTACCATACTGAAATTCTAAACTTACCTTTCAAAATAAACATAAGTCAAAATACTGTAGGTACCAAAAGTATATTAAAACAATATCTCACAAACTAAGTGTCAAAATAATTTATAAAAAAAAAACTTTTTACTAAAACTCTCTAAAAGGTCAAAGAGTCTAGAATAGTCTACAATTTTTATCAACTATATGTTAATAGCTGAATGAATCCCACTCTGATTTATTTATATGTATATAGATAAGACAAAGATCTTTGGTTTTAAAATAATTTATAGTTTAGAGCGCTTACAGTATAGTAGCTTTGAATTGCTTTTGGCTTCTTAAGTTATTTCTCATTATCATAAACCAAAGTTTCTTAAAATAAAACCATAACTTAACACTTTTCCACTTTAGTCCAAATGTTTAACGATGATTGATCAGTATCACTTTTAAGTATGTCCTTTTAAAATTTAAAAATACAATACAGTAAATGTCAGTACCTGTACACTTTTCATATTTTATTAATTGCTCAACATGGAAAACAATTCATAATAAGAATGCTATTTGTTTTTGTCAGAATCAACCCTAAGTGCATTAAGAATACAAAAATTTAGAACGTTGTCTTAATTAACTGTAATGGAGTTTAAGAATAAAAAAAGGTTTAAAAGATAAACATTCTAAAATAGCCTGAATGAATGATGCTATGGAGACTATTTCTATTTCACCTTATTTTAATTTTTGTTGAATGTAATTTGAAAAGTAGGGAGCTAAAGTACTTTTTAAATGTATTAGTTGTAACTACTGTAGTGACTTTTAACAAAAAGCTAGTTTAACCCTGGTAATTTTGGCTTGAATTAAGTTAGATGTTAAAAACTAATCTGTGACTACAATTATTTTCTGGAAAAAAATAAACTGTACTAATGAATGTAAAAATGTAGGCCTACTTATATTATTTTGCCCATCAACAGTAGAAAATAGTACTATATAAACATAATCCCACTGCACAAGCGATGTTATCTTAAATACTAGGCCTCAAATTAAATTATTTAGTAGTCTACATTACAAATCTGGTTTAGAAATTAGGCTAACAGTAATATGTTCTTATGATGACTTTATGATGAAATTATAAATATCTAAATCATCATTACTACATTATCGCTAGGCCTACTATATTATTGTTTTAATATCTTCACACTATACTTACTTGTCATATTTATTTCAACAAAATGGTTTGATCATGACAAGCCAGCTATTGATTAAAAGTCGTTCTATTCAACTGTAGCTTAATAAACACTACTTGATACTTCATATTATGGGATGTTTAGAAAAAAGTGGTTAATAGATAGGTGAGGAAGGAAATAAAACAATAACAGACTGAGATAAAGATTTTAGAGATGAATACTGCAGCTTCCTGCTCCAGCTAGCTAAAGCTAAGCACACACAGCACAGCTGTTCAAGCTCAAGGGTTAGAGGCAGAGGGTTGATCAAATTCGCGGGAAAGGGGAGGGAGGTGCAGACGACAAACAGCTGACTGAAGTAGGCTTCGATCGATAACTGGGGCAATGATTATGCACACTAAGCTTTTACATTGAGTCAGTGTATAACAAGTATTTTACTTGCTGGTACATATTTAACCCTAAGTCATATTTAATTGAATCACTAAGTAATGAGACAGGTAGTGAAGTATTTCTCTGATCACTGTTACAACAATGAATGTTTAACTAGCAGTCTAATGAAAAAATATGAAAACCGAGAGGAGTGAAAAAGTGTATAGTCTCTATAGTATAGCATCTTGTTTTTTTTTACTTATTGAATTCATATTCCAATTTAAGTCAAACAAAATTAAAAATAGTTATGAAATTTGAACATAGAAAATTGCTTATTCAATCGATGATTTCATTAATCATCCTTCTGGGCGAATCGTACCCGTACGCCATTACTTGCTACAAAGTGATTGTAAAAACTGTTTCTAAAGTTGACAGCATACTAAAAAATATCTTATGGCCGCCGTAAGATATTTTTACAATGAATTGTAGCAAGTAACGTAAAATATAAATGTATCAATATAACCGCAGCTCAACGCAGGGCTACAGCTCAACGCATGCAAATAAATATTTAGATATATTGCACTACAACATGCAGCTATCTTTGAGCAGATGCCTACGTGAATCATAATATTTTTCATCAACAATCATCTTCACGTTGACTATGGTGTGTGGTATAGCGGTATGGGTCGTAATCTAATCTAGTTCAGTAGTTCCAGATATTTATACTATCCTACTGAGGCACTCACCCTAGCGTCTCATACATACAGATATGAACATGGTTACAAGTACCAGGCAGCCATAACATTCTGTATCATGCAGCCTAGTTTAGAGCATGTATGTATACATATATTTACAGACCGGACAGGAGGGGGCCATGTTCTACAGCGCCGTAGTTTGGGATCGTACCTGGCGCCCCCTTGAGGGCTTGCTCTGCTGACGTCATCTCCTCGTCGGCCCTGTAAAACAACATAAAACATACTGAAAATGAAAATCACATGAAAAGATTGTATTGCAGTTGGCCTACAGTATTCAGTAGTTTATTTCGAGAACAGGAACCCTTCATCCTTCTGTGTCTCATATTATTACGATCAAGATATTGTGCTAGGATAGGATACAAAATCCTCTCAAAAAGTATGCTGAAATGTTTTATAATATAAAACATATTATTACATATTATTAGCATATTATTCTATTAACATATTATTTTTTTACTTTATAAGCTCCACCACAAAAAATGTAAGATTATACTGTAACCTTATTGTGCGGTGTTCTAGTGATGATTTTATTTGTAAAAGTAAACACATTTGCACTTTGCAGCAAGTATACATGCTTCCAAAAACTAATAATTGATTTTGTTATTTTTATTTGAAAACTCGGTAAACTAATGAAGTTAATGCATTGTATTGAATATACTGTATTGGTTATAGTTAGGACATAATAGAAGCTATAGAATCTTAATCCCAATCCGTGGATATAATGTCATAAACGTCACAAAAATGACGTAAGGTTGAAGGTTAATTAGAGCTAATTTAAACTTAAAGATAAAGTTTTGTTAGGTTTACGAAGGAAGAAACACATCTTTTAAGACTGTTAATCTATGTTTGTTCTATTTTGAGGCCGGTGAGTAAAGTAGGTTGTCATAAAATTGAAGAAACAATGCTTTTCCTACAACCATTTTGTATACTTGCTATTATACTATTATTATACCTAACTCACTATTATTCACCCTCAAATTACCGAGGCAATATCAATAAAATAATAGCAGCCATAATGTGTTTTTCGCATTTCAAAAGAAACAAACATCATCCCTAAAAGAAGTATTCGGTTTAATTTATATTTTGGTGTCACACACTGACCAAATAATTATTCCCAATTACAAATAAAAAAATAAAAAATAAAAAGCTAGCAGCTTGGCCAGCATTTCAAATTTTTTATTCCGATACCAAAGTAAAATTTTCCAAGAAGCTACTTGATATTTTTTACCCAACGATTCTTTGTTGTAAGTAGAAAATTTTCAACGTTTCTGTAATTATTCCAGATTGCATTGTTTTACCTTAGTAAGCAGTACACTATCTACGAAGAGCCACAAATATTTTAGGTTCAATATTAATATCAAATCAAATCAAAATATCTTTATTCGTACAAGACTTAGTACATGTACACCTGAATAGTATCAACTTAGCTATTTAAATTAACATTTGCTCAATTATTCATATACTCTTCATGAATATGACTGTTTTAAACATGGAAATGTTATCGTGTTACGGCAAAGTCTCTGGAACTCTAAAACAAATCACGTTCATTTTTTCAAATGTACAAAGACAGCCTTATATTAGTTATCACGTAGCATTTCCATAATGGAGATAAGGCATGATCTCTGTGTAAACCGTAGATTATAAACCTACAACCGTGGTTTAGTCGTTTATACAATAACTATGGCTCGTGCAGGTTTCTGTTGTCTTATTGAATTTTTTGCGAAAAGCGAAAGTATTAAATGACGTCAACATGAATTTTGCAGCATGTAAGCCTAATCAGTGTTAAATAGGAGGGTTCTAGTGGTTTGAAATCTGTATATACAAAAAATCTGTATCTACAGTACATACTTAATATAGTAAGGGGTTTCTATGTTACATCCCTTTTCCAACCGTCCTTACTTAACCTTTCAAAGATCTAGTGTTGCTGACAAACTTTACTCATAATGGTTTAAATACAGGTTAATAAAAAGTCTGGAGACCACCTGTCAATTTTTTTACGGGTCACACAAGAAAAACTAAACTCTGCACACCTTTATGGCATGCTATGAAGTACTTTTTGGGCATAACTGCTAATTCGTGTTCATTCCCAAAATGGGGGATTTTGGGGTAAACTAAAAAATTTCAAACGGTAAGACCCATCGAGTGACCCCTCCATTTTAAGGTCCTCATGAAATACAACAACTAACAACGCAAACTAGGGGTCTCTATCTCAACCCAGTAAAAAATGGTAGTCAATTGAAATTCTCAGAAGTGAAATTTAACTTACAGCTTTTTTTTTGCATGATATGAAGTACTCTTTGAGCCTAACAGCTACTTCATTCGCAAACCCAAAACGGGGGTGTTTGGGGGAAACTCAAATATTTTAAATGTTAAGCCCCATCAATTGGCCCCTTATTTTGAAGGTCGTGATCAAATAAAACTAACAACGCTAACTAGAGGTCTCTATCTTAACACAGTAAAATATGGCAGTCAAGTACATATATATAAATTAATTAATAATTTTAAATAGGCAATTTTTTTGATAATTGCAGCCTGATTGAGTTAGGTAAATTACTCTTCAATCTTTAGTGTAGATCGATAGTTCTTTGAAAAGTAAAAAAGTTATTGCGTTGTTATACTGGCCTTGGAATTAAATTTTCCCTATTCACTTGTGCAATTTGCGCATAGGTCCCCTCGCACTACTATATTTTTGTTGAGCAAATATTGGTTTTTAGTTGTTTGTATGACATAGCATGTAGTGGCTGTAGTATAATGCCATTTTTGGTACAGCAAAAGAAATTCAAATAAAAGTTAAATCAATAATAAATACCAGACTTTTAAACTATCCTTATATTTGGGTTAATATGCACACGTAGGTGGCGTCTCAATGATTGATAATTGATTGGTACTTACTGTAAAAAATATACAAACTACAACACTGCGCCGAATATCCGTTTGCGTGAAGTAAACATAGTTGCAGGGCTTTTCTTCTGGGGACAATACTTTACACTTTGTTCACACAACAAATGATAACAATTCAACACTGGTTTTACACATAGGTAGAAGTCTACACAAACAAAGTAAAGGAGAGACTGAAACCGCGGCCAAGCGTAAAAACTTATCAGGAAACCGGTTTAAAACCGGTCAAATAAACTTTTTATCACCATTTTTCACTATTTGGATTGATTTAGTTCTTTTTTCTGATAGTTTTGTTTGGAGGAAGATTACTGGTCTAGGTTTGGTAAAAGTTTTCCATTTCAATAAGGCGTGGGTGATATTCCTTTGTAAGATAAATAACGGAAATACCACAACATAATACACTAACTATTACACAACCACAACCACTACTGTCCACTGTGCACTTCGTTTTCTCAAAATCATCTGATCATCTATTAGCTTTTTCAGATTTTCATTAAAGTGTTTTCTTTGACATTTTTGGACAGATTAAATTCTGTTAGAAAATGTTTACACATATTTATAATGTCTTAAGATCAATCCTATCACGTGTAAACCCACATGTATTCGAACGAGTTCGCGAATCAGCATGACCGGACTATGGTCACAGGGGTGTATTTGGGGGGGGGGTTTGCGGGGTACAAATGGGTTTCCATCATTTTTACCCTAAAAACAAAAAAACTTTGCAATTATACCTCCTTAAATAATTTAATTTAAAAAATGATTTAGCTTATTTGAAGCATTGTTATGCGCTTAATGGCAAAATAGTAAGATTTGCCTTTTATTTAAAAATGTTTGACGAGATTGACAAAAGCACAAATTGTGTTTGATAATTTGTTAAAATAATCAGCTAAATAATAATAAGCAATAAATGAGGCGACTTGAGATTTCACAGCAGGTAAGTGAATCTCAGTAATAAACCGTGTATTATTTTTTATAGAGACTTGAAGCTTATTTAATATGGTTAGTTGAGATATTCATGTTCTTTAGCGAATCATTGGGTGTTCTCATCACTTTTTTAACTTTCACAATCAAACTATGTTCACATAAGAATTTCAAACAATTCTTAAAACAAAAGTCGGTTTGTTTTAAGACGGCAATTCTTAAATATAAGAATAAACCTAACATACTGTAATGTTTTATAAGGCCACCACGTAAAATTCATATGACATAACCTTCAATTTTTAAACGGAAACGAACATTTGGTAATGTAAACAGCTGTTTTACCTTGCCAGCTGTGTCGGTGCCGCCAGTTTGGTAATCCCACACACACGCGCATTCACGAACACACACTACACACTACACAGAGGTACTGAAGTCAGAAGTACGCAAGGCAAGAACTGAATTGGCACTAACCTCCTACCTAGGGCGCTATGTTCGCAATACAAGCACCGGTTTGTTGAAAATCGCTGACACCTTCCAAATAAATTATCCGGTCAATCATTTCGAACTTTGGCATTTCGTTCTAATTTGCATTTTTATTGATCGTAGGCAAACTGAATGCTTGAATTAATTTGTGGGAAAAACAGGGAAGTTACGGTATAGAATATTTTTAGAAGCTAATAAAGATTTTTTTCTTAATCTGAATTAGTCATTGAATTTGGATTGTAAGTAGAGTCATCATCTTATAAAATCAATTCAAACAATCTTCAAAATCAGCCCAAGAATCTTTTGCAAGGATTTTTAGTCTTTAAATATTTTAACTTTTACTTGCAATACATCAGTGAAACTCTCTTTTTAAATATGTTTTATGTTTTTACAGCCTTCAGATCGCACTCTCTTTCTTTGCGAAACAGCCTCAATCTTCAAATACTAAGGCAATAACCTGCCTTTTTAAAAAAACGCATCTATATTGTAACGAAATACCGGGTTTTAATACATCGCTAAACCATCTGAATATTGGGTCAAACTCTGCTATAAAAGAGTGTTAAGAAAACTACTAGTGACAACAATTACAGTGTGTCCGTGGGTTTATGCTGAACGGCATCACAGATTAGAGAGTATGTAGCCTAAAATCTGTACCGGCACGGCAGGCATAAGCAGTGAGTGTTTTTCACAGGTAGGAGCATAACATATACATTTTGTTTAATTATACCTATTTAGTTCATAAGACAAATTGTATTATTTTTAGGATATTTATTGACATAGCCGCATTTATGTAAATCTCGCCAAATAAATGACTTTTTGAGTTATCTGAAAAATATTTTTTTAATTGTGTCATGTATGATTGAGATAGTTGATGTTGACTATTTTTTTAAAGCTCTTCCACTTATTTTCTCTTTTCGTTGCAGCATCTTGTACAAAGATGAAAGACATTTCTTTTCGAGTTGGATTTTAGATCGAAGAGGGTTTAACTTTGACGCCTTCAATGTTTCAGCCGCTATGAAAGGAGCATTATTGCATAGCATATAGTGTGTGATGTTTAGCAGGCGTTATTAAATCTAGATATAATACAGTAAATAACCGTGTCGTAGATTATTATCAATTATCAATCATCAATCGAATGCATGAATGAGTATTTATTGGTATCTATATTTATATTATGTGATATTATATTACTATAAAATCAAATATTCCGTTGTTTCCTTATATTTATTTATTTACAATCATGGCTCACTTCATATTTTACAAAATATAGCACCAGGGGACCGGTATAGTTTATTTTGATTGTTAAAGCAATATAAATGAAACTCGTATTTTATTCACAACTAACTTTGGCTTTATTTAAGTTTCAGTGGAATTTCAATTCTTTATGTTGGAAATGTTAACCTGGCAATTCACAACACATTAACTTATTTTACAGTCGATGGTAAAAAACACTTGTTTATAACAAGCCTATAGACTACTTGCATTAACATTGTTTTAACGGTTTGTTTAAATTAAAACAGCTGATTGAAAATTGTTTCTTTAAACATTTTGTTTAGTTTACAATCTGTTCAACAAAATAGAATTTTTAAATTAAAGGCGGTATTTTTTTTAACAATAGAATCAATATTTTTAATGTATTTTATGATCAATTAGAATGAAGATACATCTTATTTCAAGACTTATCTACTCCATGTATTTTCTCTCTATATTTGTTATTTACAGTACTCGTTTAGGAGCTACGCTACATGATGTAGAATGTACACCGCAAGTAATATTTTCTTAGGTGTAACACACTGCAACTCCTTAACGAGCAGCTTTAGAGAAGAAATGTCAAGAATAAAAAGTTTTTTTAAAATTGCATTTACATACTAAACTATCCTGAAATAAACGGTGTTCCATAAAAAAGTAGTTGTCAGGCATATTGAAAAATGCCGGTCATATGTTTGAAATTTAAAATCATCCCAAAAAAAAAGTTTGCATGATAATTGCAACCCAAAAATTTCAATATATTTTTGTAAGCGAGTTAAAAAGAAAGTGTTGTGTGAGTAGATTTTCAAAACCTTTTGAAAATTATGCTAAAAACTTTCTTGCCACGATTAGTATGTCTAGGGACATAGTTAGGGACATTTAAGGACATCTAGGGATTTCTCTTCTGGCTTGTCACCCAGTTGCCTTGCAACACTATAGTCGGTTCACAAAATTTAGGTTCTAGGGGAAGGTTTCCTGGGTTCCTCCACCACTATTTTTATATCAGCTGATCAGCTGTTGGGAGTTAGTTGATTCAAAGTTACGTTGAGGTGGAGGGGGATAGTCACCTCCCTTAAATCGCCTAAATTTTGTGAACGGAATATAGCCTTGTTGCTGATGTAAACAATCAGTAACACAATCACCTATTATAGCTTACATCATAAAACCTTGGCTGAAGAACAAAATATATTTTTGATTTTAAAATCTCATATTTAATAACATCTGTACAAATTACATTAAAGTCCTTACTGAAATATCACAATTAATAGTTTCATAACTTAGCCTATTACAATATTGGTTCTATAGCTAATTTATAAAATACTGCAAATATTACCTATAACATTTATATATTTGGACAACACAAAATTACTTACACACGTGTATACGTGATTGGCTCTAAAGATCTTAATTAAACTTGTGGCAAAGAAGAGGTAAAATTAGTTTGCAAATTCTTTAGTGAATAAAGTATATAAATAAAATGTAATTAACTCTAATATTGTCCATAACTACCCTATAAATAAATCAAAACTATCATATCACTTTCTGTCTTTAATTATATGTAAACTTATCCAAAAAGTCTGTTCTTATAGAAACGTAGCACATAAAAATAATAAATGCTATGTAACGATTATAAATTCTACAAAACTTAACAAATTATGTTATCAAGATTAACCCTAGGAACATTTTAGTTAGATTTGAAGATCATTCATTGTGCTGTCCTCGGGGTGAACTCTACTTGCTGCCAATCTTTTCAACCTGAAACAAGATTTATAATATAGTTTGTAAATGTTAAACATATTGACATAACATTAACGTATGACATCTAAAACAAGATATTACAAAATCACTATATTGGCTGACCATTTTTGCTAGCACAGGTGATTGATCCAAGCAGGAGTCGGGCCAAGGGCCCACTAGAAAAACAGGCCATGCTGCAGCGCGGGCAGCGCAACACTACGTCACAGTGGTGGATAGTTGTACTAAAATATTACCATTTAAAAATCTGACAAACAACCAGTTTATTTACCTAAAACATATGGGATATAGCAAAAAGGCAATGAATCTATCAATGAATCTATCCTAATGTGACGTCATATGGATCCTGCAGAATGGCCTGTTTTTCTAGTGGGGCCTTGGTCGGGCCCGTGGTTTGTACGAATGGGCCCAAGAGATAATTGCACCCCGAATTAACCTAAAACCTCTTAACCCATTTACCCATTTACTAAAGCGGCCCTGGCAGGGGTAATCCTGTGTCAGTAAATAGAGAATCTACTTGTAGAGCAGATCGACATTGAACCACTTAGTAGCAAGCAAACATTCCCCCTCCATTATTTATTTCGTCATTTTATACATTCAAAAAAAAAATACTATTGTATCTCATTGACAGGCCCTAGTTTGTATGTGGGCTGACTGGGCTAAAGCTCCAGAGTGTAATTTTTTAGGAGCGCAGGATTTCTCAACAAAGGTTTTTTTCTTAACAACATTTTTTTACTAGTTTGCTAAAAAAGTATACAAACACATATAATTTAAATCAGTATTTTGATTTCCATATAGTGGTTCTCTGATATAACCTTGTTTTAACAGTCTATACCTCTTGGCAAGGGGAGGGGGAAGCCAAAGCTTTTTGTAGCCATAGGACTTTTGCATGTTTATCAAAATACATTCATATATTCATATACAGTATTCATTGTGAGTTAGAGTGGTATTCTAATTTACGTCTTTACCTTAACTTGTGAAAAAAATAGCTTCCACATACCTGTCTCTAGATATAGGAGCCAGGGTGGCCAACCCCCCTGCCAGCACAGCTGTAAGTGCGAGGTTGGTAGCAGTGGGGCCGTAAGTCTCCAGCACGACCCCTGCCCCCAGTACAGCTGCTACTCCACACAGCTCCCCTACTGCGTTTAGTAGACCTGACGACGTTGTCTCTGTAGAAGGGAACGTCAACTCTGCTCCGTACTCATAGCCCACCGTTAGGTAGCCGTTCATGAAGAACCTGTTTGGTAAATTGATTTTTTGCTATGATTGTTAAAAACACAGCTAAAAGACAAAAATAGATTAATAAACCTCAAGGTAACTTATTGGTTTCTGTGAATTGTAGAACAATCAAGTCCGCAAGTAGCACAAAGTTCAAATGGTCAAGTACTGTGTAACTACTACTGAAGTTATCAAGGTTAACAAGGTTAGCCTCCAGGATGGATGACAATATATTTACCTAACCTTGGGCTTTTAAGTTGTCAATCCTGATTTAGTATCGGGCAAAATTAGTTTCAAAACAACTACGGCATTTCACTTTCAAAACTCTCGTTGTCTTACCTTAAGTTATTTGAGCACATGGTCGTCGTCAAAACACAAAAATTCAACATTTAAAACACACAAAATTTAACTTGTAATACACACAAACACAGATACAATAAGTTTACTTTAAAGCATGAGCGCTCTGTTAACACACACAACGAGGGACACGACTCAACACCAAAGCTTGAAAATTAAATAGTCGTTTCTAAACTAGTTGCAAGAAACTAAATTAGGATTAAAACATATAAAGTATGTAAACCTATTTATATATTGTTATTATTAAATAATAGCACTGGTGTGGGGTTATTTGGATCTTTCATTAAAAATTTTCATGAGTTTGCCAAGAAATCTTGAGACCTACATTAAATCCTCAGTTTCCAAGACTTAATTGTACAAGTAAATGATGATTGTTCCAATTATTTAGGGGTGAATTTCTTGATTCAAAATTGTTCTTAACTTAATAGTAACGGTAAAAAAAGATTACAGTCTTACCCAAGGAACGCTGATGTGAAGTAGACTAGAACTAAGCGTTCAGATTGCAGAGCAAGCGTGTATCCCAACATTCCAATCACAGCCATGACGTATATACCAACTGTAGTCTCTCTGTGGAAAATAATGTAAAAGTAATTTTAAATTAGATTCAGATTGGTGAGAGTTGGAATAATAGTAAAACCATAAACTTTTTGGATATTTATTAGACTTTTCAAATTCCATCTACCAGCTCTGGTCAAACATGGTTAAGTAAGCCACTCAAATAGTTAAAAATGCTCTCTCTAACGCTGGTTACACACTGGGCAGTTTGTACCGCGGCGGCGAAAATGCTGTTGCCGTCGTTAGGTAGTATTCTATATACATTTATATGGAAGGTTACACACAGGGCGGCAGGAAAGCCGTGCGGCCATATTGTCAGCCGCTAAGCAGCCGGCCAGTGCCTCTGCGGCAGACGGTATTGTGGCCGCTCTTGACCAGACAGTGGCGTATGAGATCAAATGGGCGTTTACACATCCTCGGTCGACTCTAGAAGCTGTCAACAGCGTCATAGACTTCTGCAATTGACATATTAAATTGTGTATGTGTGTTTTGTTAATTTTTGCCAAATAAAAAAAAAGTTTTCATTTATTCCTCAAGTCTTTAAACGACCTAAAAATGTGTCAGCTTCTTTTACATTTCCGTTTAGGGGATGGATTAAAAAAGGTGATCTTTCTTTTCCTTCGACGGTATAACAAAAGTGCTAAAAGTTGTCGACTGTTAAAATTTCATAATTTAAAATTTAAATAATTTTTGGATTTAATCATATGCACATTAAAATAACTGAATGTTAATCATAAAACAGAGAAGCCACTACACAATAAGCTGTAGCTTACAGAACTCGGAAAAAAATAATATACATAAAAAAATAGAGTCTGTAGCTACTGAAATTGTAGGTAATTTTCTAGACGTGTAATTATAAAGGTGGCGCCATGGCAAAAACCGCACAGTGTGTAACCAGCAGTGTTAGTTTTTCAGTACTTTGATAACTTATGAGACATGAAGCTAGAGTTTACAACAGGTTGGTTTTTTTTCCAATTTGGTTTTGGTTAGAAAGTTGGTGTATTCATCAGAAGAACAACTCAGCACACTATGTCAGTAGTTTAACTATATTGATTTTGATTCAAAAACTTGTGGCAACCTTAACATGGATATGGAATGTCTAGTTCTCTCAATATTCTAAGCTACAACCAGTGAGAATAGAATGTCTTCTTTCCAAAGTGAAAGTTTACCATCAATATTTGACTTGTGACTTCTTTAATTACCTGTTATTTATTTTTTCCTGTAACTTCTACATGTGACTTACTTGTACATGTGAGTCTTGTCCAGCACCATGCCCCAGACAACTGAGCCGACCATTCCTCCGAGAATAAGTGTGAGACCGACTCTGCCTGTGTTCTCGATTCCCCACTGTTTTACAAAAGATCATTAAAATAAACTCTCAGACAAAATTTCACACAACACTTTCATTAGATAAAGTAGTTTCCTCTTTTGATCCTCCGCTCCATTGGGTAGCTGAGTGGTTATAGTGCTCATCTAACAATCAAAAGGTTGCCAGATCAATCCTGAGAAAAGTCAGTAGCTTTTTGATGGTTCAAAAATGGACTAAGCAAGGATTTTTATACAAAGCAAGGCATGACATTGCATATATAAGGCTATGGTGTGCAGTTTGCTGTTTCTGGTAGCTCATGAAATGTAGGGAACATTCAAGACTCAAAGACAGCAAATTCTATGGCATTCTGGTAGTGGTATTAAATTCATACTCTGTCGACGGCTCAATATTTAACCCCCATAATTTTTATTCAAAAACTGTCTACAGATTAATAAGGATATGGAATGTTTATTTTCTATCATACTGTTGTACTTAAAGTTATAGAATAGATATAGATTATAGTTATTAGTTATTATAGATATTATTAAAGTTATAGATTATAGTTGAGCAAAGGGTGTCGCCACCTTTGGTGGATAGGTTCATCTGGGTGGGACCCACTTCTATTCCTGCCTCCTTTTGGGAAGCCCAGATGGCCTGGCAGTGATGTTGGGCTTGATGGGCAAACAAAGTAGATCGGGTGCTGGGTTCAAGCCCGCTGGGGGTGTTCAGGGATCTATCGCCTTGGTCACCTCTGGTTTCCCAGCAACTGGGTAAGGCCTCGATCGGGTAGTGGTGTAAATAGGTGGTTCCCCCATCAGCTTGCTGGTGGTCCCCTTCTTCCTGGCTTTGATGGCGGGTTCTGCCTGTCAGGGATTGGATAGGTCCCGAGTGTTGCTTGCACTAAATGCGTCAGGGCATTCCACTATGGTCCTTCTGGGTTTCGTACCTGGGGGAACCCAGGTGGACTGACGCTTAAACAAGTAGCCGGTATCCCTGGTTAGGATTGAGGGGCAGCCGGTGAGCCTGATGACCTTAAGTCATCCTCCCATGGTGTGCCAAAGGTTGGTGCGTATGCTTCGGCCTACATCATGGGGCCCGGGTGTGTTTAATTACAGGTACCGGGTTTGCAGTCAGGGAGCTTCTGGCTCTTACGACAAAACAAAAATGGAATGGAAATGGGAATGTTGTACTTAAAGCTAAAACTCACAGTTAGTCCTTCCAGCTGTTGGTTAAGCAGGGTGGAGTAAGCGTAGAAGACTCCGATATTGAATCCAAAACTGACCAGAAGCAGGGAAAAGTCTGAGTTGCCAATCATTTGCTTGACAGAGGTGAGATAGTTTGTGTCTTTGCATTCTCTCTCCTTCTTGCGAGAAATCAGCTGAGCAACACTGGGAGGAATTGGTGGTTGGGCTTCAAACACTGCAAACCATAAAAGCAATAAGTATCAAAGACAAGTAATGCAAAACATAGAGGATGTTGTGATATAACCCTTTGAACTCTGTTAAGTATTTAATTTCCGCCTACTTATTTTTTATTACATTTGCCCACATTTTTACTTTCTACCCAGCTGTACATATACATATTAGGCCTAGAGTATGAAGTAAGTATTGTTTTCATCAAAATTTGCACTCAGTTTTGGATGGAAATATCCGTTTTGGGTCCCAATGAACCCAAAATTGGTTTTGAAGTGATGTCTCTCTGTGTGTGGCTACTAATTCAATGGATCTCTAGACATTTAATCCATTCTAGAGAAAAAAAAAGATTTCTAAAGGTGATTTTCCATATGAAAATCCATGAAATCCATAATATAACAGACGAATAGGATTTTCAAAAAAAAAACTTCTAGAACAATTTTGGTTAATATAATTTTGTATGGTCCTTTTTAACTCAAAGCAAAGCAAAACAATCCCCAATGCTGTAGAAATGACAGTTCAAAATGTATTGTAATTTTTGTGATTTTCCATATAAAATATCATTCCACTTACATACGATACGATGAGGGTTGTAGACAAGCTTATGGGAGAAAGTATGTTTCGAATTGCTGATACCCTTTATATCCATCCTTTCAAATTAATTTGCCATACCTAGGAGGTGTTCCCATCTCAATTAATTGATAATTAATAGATGATTGATAATTCATAAATATTAATTGTGATATTAAACTTACATAAGACGATCAGGATTAGTATAATGGTCGGTGCCAGAGCCATGCCAAAGTACAGCAGTTGAAGTTGTTCTCTGATCAAGAACTTGTCTCTTACTTCGTCCACTACTGCAGACGGCACCATAAACCCAATGGCAATCCCCAGCTAAAATAACAAACCACATGTCACTTCGCAAACAACACATTGACAAGGCTAAAGTTTATGTGAATGATGTGTTAAATAACTGTTCATCCTCGTAGGTGTGGAAATGGAGATCTTGATGGAATATCCTTCCCGGAGATCTACTTGAAGTTTGAAGTGCCAAGGACCGCTTCCTGGACTCGAGAGTCTGCGGTTCTTAGTCTCTCCACATGGCTGATGTGCGAACAGTTTTATGGCTTCTACCATTCTTTTTTGGGTTGACACCGTTCATCTAAATTATTATGTTAACCAGTTCTGTATCACGGAAAAGTACAGTTTCGATCAATATTTAATATTAATGCTACCTAAACAATCTCTAGCTGTGTTTTTATAAAAGTATCATCATTATTTAAAAGAGAAAAACACGCCATGTTTACTAAAATAGTATCATTCAATTTTGTTTGAGCACAGCTGTTCACTCATTGTTGCAATATTTATCATCTGGTAGCTAAAATAAGTTGTATAGTTCCCATTGCCCCACCCTGTATGAGAGTGAAAATTTAAAAACGTACGTTTTCATGTCCCTGGCCTTTTACTTTGTAGATACTGGATTTGTAGTTTATTATTATGTGTTTTAATATTTTTTGGGACGGGGCAACATGTTACTCACATTTATTTGGTTTTAAATAGGTTCTAGGTATTTTTTTCGTATTTTTAAAGTCTCGAAATTTACGACCATGACGTGTCCCTAGGGTACATTTTCCAACTTTCACGCTGTTTTTAGACTAATTATTCATGCCGAAATATATAAAGCCATATTTTTATGTCATCAATGGTTATTAAACTTACAAAAAAGGAGCATATTATAGTTTTATTGTCATTGCAAACTGACTACCATGACAAAATAAGTCTGACCCTCGATTTGGCGTCACGACCATTTGGGAAAAATTTTCTACTTTGGAGCACGACAGTGGCAAGCCTGGCGTCGATGGAGTCAGTTGGTTTTAGAGACTAGTTTGGGGTGTACGTCAGGATTGTAGTGCCGGTCGTTTCGAGTTGAAAGGAGGAATTACAAGATTAATAAAGGAAAGATTGTGTTTTTTGTAATTTTGGTGTGTCCATGACCGTACGTAGTCATTCGATGAAGTAGACATGTGTTAATTTTTGTTTATAAGATATTACAATTGCTAGATTAATCTAGAAGTCCACTTTGTATCCTCGAACATGAGGTGCAGGGCTACCACCAGAACAGAGCCAAATAACACGTAATTTCACGACCAAAGTTTCACGACCATCGCGGGTTTTTTAACGACCAATCCAGCCTTATGGATTATAGTTTGTTTGGTCGTGACAATAACTTTAATATAATTGTAAATTGAACAGTTTAGTTCAATTGAAACACATATTTTTATTACAACTAACAGTATAATTGAAGGATTGTTTAGAAAGATTTAGATTATTTCAGAAAATTCACGACCGTACCGCTTGTCCCTGACCATAACGTTTATGATTTCTATCATAAAAATTTCAAAAATTAAAATATCGTCATATTTTAATGTTTTATACACAAAAGAAGCACACCTCTATACAAACATAACAATTTTTCGGGTCTCAGGTAAGTTTTTTTGGAGTTATACAAACTTAAAAAGATTTTATTGTTTTTTTTTCAATTTTTTGAGTTTTTTATTTTTTTCTAGGAAGACCAAATATACCAAAAGCTCAGTGACCTTTTTATTGTATAATGGTCATAGAAGTAAATTAGTTTATAGCAGAACATAGTTAAAAAATAATATTAACTATTACTAATATTCATTTAAACGTCTGTTATGGTCGTGACAGGATTTTGTGTTTTTCCACTAAAGATGCTCTTAAAAAAAACACTACCAAAGATATTGCGTTACCATGGACATTTTATGAAACTTAAAATGTTAATGAAATATAAAAAATAGTAAAAGTTTTGAAAAAAGGGGAAAAAATTTGCAAAGTGCTTTTCCTGAAAACGTACGTTTTTAAATTTTTACTCATGAATGTTATCCTACTATAATATTATAAATGAGAAAGTTTGGATGGATGGATGTATGGATGTATGGATGTATGTTTGTGACAAGTGAACGCGAAAAATACTGGTCGGATTGGGCTGAAATTTGGCATGATGATAGCTCACATTCCCGATTAACATATAGGCATATTCTTATTTCAAAAATCCTTTCGGGCTCCGCCCCAGTGGCTCTGGAGTTTCCCATGTTAACCTTATGAGAAATGAAATTATTGAATCTTAACAGCTGTTTCAATTAAACAAGTTGGTTCTGTTCTGTGATGTTCAATAGCATTAAAGTTACAAAAATTACCAACAGGGTGCAGCACTATTATTTCTTTTACATTTATGACAACAGCTAATTTGCAACCAAAAGTTGAGTGAGCGTAGCGAACGAACTTCAACCTGGAGGCGAGTTAGCGTAGCGAACGAGCTAACCTGAAGGCAAGTGAGCGCAGCGAACGAGCTCCAACCTAAAAGTGAGTGAGCGTAGTGAACGAACTTCAACCAGGACGTGATTGAGCCATGCAAACGAGCTCACTTATGAAGTTAAACGGGGCAAAGCCCGCGGGTACAGCTAGTATATTATATAAATGAGTCTGTGAACGTGATAACTTGAGTAATTTTGGTGTGATTTTGATTTAATTTGGCTTGAAGGCGTAGGGCGGGATGACTTTGAATAGTTTGCAAATCAGCAAGATTGAGTCAGGTGAATGAGGTGTAACTTATTGGAATTTTTTTTCAATTCTTGTTTTTCAAATTTCTTCCCTTAAAACATTGAAATTCCCAACTTCCATTACATTGTTATGGAAGCAAAGATAATTTGAAGAACTTTTCAATAAACTCAATCTCACCTGGTTCCCAAACACGCCAATGGAGCAGGCTGTAGATACTTGGTGTGCCGGGAACCACACAGCCGCCAGTCTAGATGGCACTCCCAGTATGAACACTTGAGCCACACCTACAACCGTCTGGCCCAGGAACGTCAAGGCGAATCTATTAAGAATAAAATAGCATGTTTGCAAAATGATTTGTCATCAAAACACAATTAAATGTATATAATAGAAATACGGATGTAACATAGAGCACAAGATCCTAGGTTTTTAGGATTGTGAGGATGGCCATAGAGTGAAAACTCCTCTTCCATGGTTGACATTGAAAATACTGTCAGTGGCAGTGAAATATTTCAATGTTTTTGTATATAGTGTAAAGTTTTGTGTTTCTTATGCCAGTTTGGACTCTTTCCCATTCAAAAAAGCTTCCTCACTAAAAATCACTATAGTCATAGATGGATTATTGTGCCTTTTTTAACCCTAAGCGAGTGGATTCTGAAAATGCCGTTTGTCAATCAATGAATGCCATGGCTATCAATGAAAGAAGCTAACAAAAGGTCCATGTTAGATGGTAAGAAGACTAGCATTTGGACCGATTCCTTATAAAATTTGTTACAATTTTTATGCCACATGAAAACTAAAACACAAAAAATTAAAGAGAATTTTGCAGAACAGAATCTATCTATATATTAATAGGCAAGCATGTTTCTTTAAAACCTTTTTTCTCAGGTCGTGTGCATCGCAGGGAAAATCTACGCATACTGTTGGAAAGATATTTTCCTGTAGATGTGCAGAATGCCTCTAAAAATTAAAATAGGCTATTTTAGAATATGTTTTAGTTACACCACAGAGAAGTAAAGGAACAGAGAATACATTCCATGGTACACTTAAGTGGTGTCTAGCGCTAGTGCTGGTTTCTAGGGCAAAGTCAAAATCACCCTCTTGCCATCATACAACACTCATGGTGGAGGAAGACCCTGTGCGATAGGAATTTCCGCACAGTGCTCGCCGTTCGGGCTCTTCCATGCTTATCAAAAGTATATTTCGGATAAAAAATTCCAGAGCTGTACGGTTGTACCGCGTGTTTCCTTTGGACCTTACTTCTCTGTGGTTGCACAGAACTTATTATCAAATCCATGTTACCAGAAAATGTTTGAGGAGTGCTACTGTATTAAGACTTTAATGTCAACGTCAAATTCTGTTTCAACAAATTATTAAGCAAATTCAGATGGTTTTTATTCAAATCAACATTTCGAAAGTTTAAAATACAATCTAACACAACATAAAATTTAATTGACAACAATAGTTTTCTTGTACCTGTCAGGTTGAGCAGAAAACACTTTTATCCAAGCACCAACACACATCAGAAGGGCTCCTAGGATCACTGCAACTCTCAAACCCTGAAACACCAAATTAAAACTTGACAAAATGTAATAATAATTTTTCCAGGTTTATCCAAATGAACATAGATTGACCCTACTAGTCATGTTTGACTGAATTGTTGATAATGTAGTTTATCGTCTTGTAAACATTTTGCCAGCATGTGTGGCATCTCCAAAAATTACTGTAATATTTACAAAACTTTTAAACACAAATATAGTCACTGGTGACAAAGTTTGACAGAATGGGTGGACACAGGCAGAGTTATGGTGGTGGGAGGTTTATCATTATAATCCTCATTGGAGAAAGGGACACCACCCCCGAGTGAAGGATGAGTGTAGAATGAAGTGAGATGTCTTGTGTAGCTTTGTTACTGACTTAGACCCAGTTGTTTTACTAGCCAGGCCCATTTATTAAAAACTCAATGATCAAGGACTGGGTCCAGTTTCAAAAGTGTTTCTTCCTTTCATTTCTTTGACTGGGGGTGATGGTATGTACCACGTTTGCCAGCTGAGGGTTCCCAAGTTTATGGCCAGACTTCCAACTAGCACAAAGTCATTCTATTCCCCTTGGTAAAGCCAGTTTAAGAATGAAATGGATAAAGTAGTTAAACTTGGTCACCGATATGGTGCGCTGCTCTGTTACTTTTAACCAGTGAAGCTAAATGGATGACTTATTATTGTATACAACAGCACATATCACACTGGGAGGAAATCTATCTATCTATATACTGTATTTAATTCCATAAGCAAATCAGTCCCCACGAAATATTCCGAGATAGAAAAAGGGTTGGCTGTTAAGGATTCATTTTAAATCTTAAGGTCCAAAGACGGTGGGAAAAATATCAGAAGTGACAAAACTACCGCTACTCTGCCCCACAGGCCATCAAAGATCCAGTCATTTTCTGATGGAAGTACTGCTCACTGCTACAGTGTTTCGCCACTGATAATTAGACCGATTCATATATACCAAGGCAAAAATATGTGGTTCGGATTCCACTATAAACTGTGGTCCCTTAGTTGCCATTACCTGTATGAAGGAATGTCGGCCTTAGTCACTAACAACACTACAAGATCGTGCCACTCATCCTACACTCATCTCCATTCATACTTGGCTTAAAATACCTACTATGTATGGTCGCCATTTCATAAAAAAGTATTAAAGTATTAAAGTTTCCATAAGCTGTTTTAAATACAAAAGCTGATGTAAACATTGATTATTTTGTATGTTTTTTTATTTGATTGTTCTTTTTTTAGATTAGAATGTTAATGCATGTTGAAATGTATCGTGTTAGGGAAAGACTGTGTCTAAATGTGTAAAGAAGTGTGTATATAAATCAATTTGTATACATAACTAAAAGCAGCAATTGCTGCTATGGTCCCTAATAGTAGAATGTAAGTCGGTAGTACACTCATGTTAGCTGCTCATTCAACCACGTCCTTCTTATATAAAGCAAAAATTGACAGCTGGTCCATTATAGATAGGATTTCTTATTCAGTGTCCAAAAGTCAATGTTTCCTCTCTGACAATGTTATGCTTAGGGTACACTAAACATTATTTGCAAAGAAAAAACAAATATGTACCTTTCTCTCCAAAATCCACGAAGCAGGGAAGACCAATGGTACGTAGACAGCCATGAATATCATGGACGTCCAGTTGATATAGATGGCGCTGACATCATAATAGTACATACACACATTAGCTATGATGGAATACTGGATCCAGTGGGCTGCATTGGCGCAGGAACATAGAGCAAATAAAGTCAGCACAAGCCACCGCCCTCTGTATACGCGACAGTGCTCCCCCATCACTGCAATCAAGGAGGCTGAATAATAAATTAATGTTAAATAACCCTTGAAATATCTCTAAAAAAAGCTTGTACGCTTGGAAACAAGTTGGCAACACTACTATCGACACAGAAAACGTACTACTATAACCCAGAATGCCAACCGCATGGTAAAAATCATTAAGCGGTTTGAGAGAGCTTTGCCTGTCAATCCGTAGGCAGCGCCACCAGCGTTGCTATTCTATTGCATGGCAACGCTGGGGGCGCTGCCTACGGATTGACAGGCAAAGCTCTCTCTAACCGCTTAATGCTTTTTACCATGCGGTTGGCATTCTGGGTATAGTAGTACGTTTTCTGTGCTATCGATCAGCTGGTACAGTGTTTAATTGCCGTTAAACATTTTGGACTTAAACCTATAACCTGTTGTTGAGTGTTAACATACACATTACAATTCAGAAATGGCCCTCGGATTTTGATTCATTGTTTGTGAAATTACATTTAGATTTGTATTTGTTAATTTGTGAAACAATTTCATTCAGGTTTTGATTTGTTTGTGAAACAAATTTAATTTAGGTTTGGATGGAATAGTTAATTTTTGAAACTGCATAGTAAAGGTTTATTCAGGTGGCATACCTAAATTAATTAGGCTTCGGCTTCCTCATCTATATATGAATATGAATAGTACCATATTTTATAATAGCATACTGGTGGGACACACCCTAGCGTTACAGATCTGAGCATGGTTACAAAGTACCAGGCAGCCATATTATTCTGCTTTATGCAGCATAGCTTAGAGCATGTATGTATATACAATACATATTTATACATACCCGGCAGAAGAGGGTCATGTTCTACAGCGCCGTAGTTTGGGATCGTACCTGGCGCCCCCTTGAGGGCTTGCTCTGCTGACGTCATCTCCTCGTCAACCCTGTAAAACAACATATACTGATATACATACTGAAAATCACGTAAAAACTCCACCACAAAAAAATTTAAGATTACACTGAAACTGTAATGTGCAGTCTGCGTAACATTTGCACGCAGTAGGTACACATGCTTCCCCAAACTTTTAGTGGTTGAAAATTAAATATACAAGTATGTTTTTATTTTATTTTGGTATTTTTATTTTTAAACACTAGGTAAACTAATGCAGTTAAACGCATATCATATACCGTATTAAATATATTGGTTACACAGTTAGGACATAATAAAAACTATTGAATCCTAATCACCACATATCCTTGGATACACCATCAAAATCGTCATTAAAACAAACGCATCTTTAAGGTTGAGGTTGAAAGTTAATTAGACCTAATTTGATTGAAGTTAATTAACTGAAAAAAATCAAGCTGATTTGTTGGATTTGCCAAGGAAGAAATATATCTTTTAAAGACAGTTATAATCTCCTGTTTATTCTATTCTGAGTTCGGCAAGTAAAGTATGTTGTCAAAAAAATTAAAGAAACGTTGCTTTTACTACAATTATTGTACGTACACTCTAACTAGCACATTTCTATCCATTTGCCCTCAAATCATTGAGGCAATAATAATGATGAAATAATAGCAGGGGTAAATATATGTTTTTGTCATACTACGAAAGAAAGAAACCCCTAAAACAAATATATTGGTGTTACACTGACAAATTATTTTCAATTACAAATTCAAAAGACCGAGTAACTTGGCGGCATTTAACATTATTTTTATGCTGATATCAAAGTAAGATTTTCCAAGGGAAGCTTCAGGATATATTTTCACCCAAAGATTCTGTTGCAAGTGGGCCATTTAAACGTTTCTGTAATCATTTCAGATTCCATTGAGTTACTTTTGTAAACAGTGCACCAGTTAATCTAACAATGAGCCACAAATATTTGAGGTTCAATATTTATTAAGATGGTTTGAGCGTGGGAATGTTATCGTGTTATGTAAAAATCTCTGGAACTTAACCAAAAACACTTTAATATTTTCCAATGGTGTGATAAGGCATGATCTCTGAGTTTTCGTATTTATTATTTTCGAAAGTTTTCAATGTAGTCAATCTGAATTTTGCTACATACCGCCTGCATGTTAATACATCCACCTGATCAGCGTTTACTTTAATATGAGAGTTGTAGAGGTTTATAAAATTGTTACACGTCCAAAGTAAATATCATACTACTCTATATATATATGTTAAGTATGAATATTAATAAAACTAATTAATTATTGTAACAATAAAGAAACAAACTATTAAAACATTTACCGTATCCATTGTCAGAATTTCCTTGAACTGAAAGTGAATTTATCATTGGACCATGATATGATGGGGACTCAATATGGAATGTATTGTTGCATTGACCGTTGGATCTTGGATCCCACAAAGTGTTCCGAAACAAAGTAAAGCTTGGTAAAATACTTGGAAAGTAACCTATTTGAAAATTTAAGTTTTGGCATAGACTAGACATATCCAACACAAGTAGACTGTCGTCCCATTGTAAATTTTGAAGCTTGTTTTATATGTCTAGTTCATCAGCTCGTTGATGACACTGATCGCAAGTGTTGACGAAATTTTGTTTCTATATCATTGGAGGGTCATAATTCCATGATTTGTACTTTACTGTATGGTTTTATAACTAGAAGACAAAAGTTATTGTTCATGATTATATAGTTTTATTTGTTTAAACGAGGTTTTAAATCACTGAAAAAACAAGACACAACTTGTGTAACAATAAATTTGGGTTCTGTTGTTCCACAAGGATGGGAAATCTACTAAGTTAATGCTTTATTATGGTTTTGCTTGGACTGTTTCACATTATAAATAAATCAGCTGATACAATATATAAAGTAAATAAATATATTTGATTGAAATAAATATTTAAAATAAATAGCTTAAAATCAACATTAGTTAAAATTGAATGACAAAATAAATAGATTTCTTTAAGAAACTCCTGTAATATGTGAGTAAATTGTATATATTTTTATGGTGTTTGGTAGATGAAAGCTTGATAAAAGCTTGAAAATAAAGCTTTAAAATGACATTTCATTTTTGATAATTAATGAAGAAGGAAGTTTTAGCGTAGGTACTGATAAAAACAACTTAGGAAATAATAATATTTTATATAGATGTCTTCATGAAAAAATATGATTTTAATATTATAAGACATTACGAGAAAGTGCCAATTGGTTTTTATGCTCTCCCTTGTTTAAGTATACACTACAGAGAGTTCATTGGCACAAATTAAACTTGTGAGTTGATATTGCATACTGAATTGGGGAAAACAAAATCAGCTGTTTTAAGCCTTCCAATGCTATTCTCGTGGAGAACATTTTGCGTTAGGGTGGCCCAAAAAAAGATACTCATCATTTCGCCATGGCAATAAAATTATTTTTCTTTAGTTAAAGTACAAACTTACTCTATTTTAAAACTAAGATTCCACCATTGTTTAATTATTACATATTCCATTCGTCTTTTTGCACGTTTTTAACCATTCCTGAACATTGTTGTGGAGTGATGTTCATTAAAACAGAAGTTAAATTATAAGCAGTTTAGTTTTGATGAGTACCTTTTTTTGGGCCACTCTGTATAATTATATATTCTAGAGCTATGGCAATTTTACTATCTTTCCCTTCCGCCGTCACAAAAGAAGACCTCCCGTTTTTCTACGACTTGCCAGACGTCCGGATAATGTTGATGCAAAGAAAGAATCTCCTTACGAAACTAAAAGATATGGCCTATAGATTTTGCAATTGTTACCTTCTCTCTTTTAAGAACTAACCATGCCATACTGTAGTGTAGTATTGCAATTTTTGGTACAACGAAAAACTGCCAATAAAAGTTTAGGCCTAATCCATAATAAATATCTGACTCTTAAATTACCGATACTCACTTTTAAAGATATAGGCTACAAACTACAACACTGCGGCGAATATGTGTTTGCTTGAAGTAAACATATTATGTTGTTGGGCTTCTCTTCTGGGGACTAAACTTTATAAAAATAAAGTATTTATACTTTTACACAACAAAAAATGATAGCGATAAAACACTAATTTGACACATGGGTAGAAGTTTCCACAGACAAATTGAATGAGATACTGATACTGTGACGTGACTGTGACTGTGAGTGAACAGTGAAGTAGTGAAGTGTTTGATATCAATCGACTGTTGATAATCGATAAATCGGAAATATCGATATTATAATGTCGATATTCGATATTTTTGACACCGATGGAAATTCGTATACTTATTTGCCATCGATGTTGTTGATCGATATCGATATATTTTTACTTTTTGCACTAAATGTTATATTGATTTATAGTTTTTTAATTTAAGAAAATTACAAATAACTAAGTCGACAAACAATTTTGTTTGACAGTTAAATTATGTTTACATTATTGTCGGTTTCACAGTAGAAAATATGATGGTTGCACTGTTTACAGTAAAAATGAGTAAATATCGGCAATACCGATATTTTTACAATATATCGATAGCTCTCAAGCGATATTTTTATGGTATCGATGTTTGGCAACCGATATTACTATCGATATCAAAAGTTCGATGGCCAAACATTGACTGAAGCCAATTGAATAAGATTGGCTAGGCAGCGGTGACGAGCAAAACCAGTAAAACTTATCAGGAAACCGGTTTAAAACTGCCCAAATAAGCTTATCATGTTTTGTTCAGTATTTGGATTGATTTTCTTCTTTTTCTGTTAGTTTTGACGAAAGATTACTTATCTATGTTTGGTAAAGTTTTCCAATTCAATTAAGACGTGTATCGATATTCCTTGGTAAGATCAATAACGGAAATAAATAAACTTACTATGCCACAATTATTTATGAGTACATTGTTTTGTCAGAATGATTAATCTTCTCCTTGGATTCCAAATATTTGTTTGCTTTTTCAGATTGTCAATTAAGTTTTTCTTTTGACATTTTAGACACATTAAATTGAGTTTGAAATTTGCTTACACATATTATTATAATTCCATAAAAGTAGTTTCTAAGAAAAATAATTTATTTATTTTACAATACTATTACATTTTAAGATAAAAATTAATGGGAGGCATTTACTCTTATAACCCAGATTTACCCAGAGGTGACTCAACTCAGTGACATTTAGGAACTTATTATTAATAATTAATAATAATTTATTAATAATTTCCACCATTATTTTTTTAACCTTGTTAGAATAGAATGATTTGTTTTGGCCAATCGCCCATTATGTTATAGGGCATATATTATTACCGTAGGTCTAAATGGTAGGACCTAGCCCTGGGACCTATTTACTTTTTCGTTTTGAGGTCCCCACAGGTCAAAAATACCATCCGTTAAAATTCACTCATAATGTGTCTGGGTGGTTGCGTTCTTCGGTAACTCCAGTAAAAATAATCAGATTTTTAAGAAATTTGGTTCAAATATAAACCATACGTTCAATGGAACTATACTTGGCCTCTCACAGTTCTATAACGCGAAATTTCATATTATTATCTTTAGTTACAACTTTTGACTAACTTGTACGGTTGTACAAAGATGTTAACTTGTATTCGAGTTACTGTTGAAGTCATAGTGAACTTAACTTTGACGCCTTCAATGTTTCAGCCACTATAGTACGAACAATGTTGCATTGCGAATAGTAGATGATTTTTAGCAGGCGTTATTCAATCTAAAATAAATACAGTACTGTGCAATCATAGAATGGGTTTATTTATTCTATGGTGCAACTGTGTCCGTGCCATAGATGAACAAGTATTTAGCTTTATCTATGGATGAATTATGATCGTGAGATCTATCATTGACTAAGGAAATGAAAGTATGACACTTTTGTTTCCCTTGTCTGTGGCTCTATGCACCTCAGGTATTAACTGCGTTTACTTATTTTATTCCAGGTTTTACTAAATATTGCCTATTTGCTTGAAAGTAAAAAAAATATAGTTTTAGGTCTTTCAGCCTTACAAGTAAAGCCAATGCCTGAATAAATTGGTAGTTTTGGGTGATGTTTTGCGTGGGGCTGTTTATTCCAAGTAATATGAATTCAGGTGTATAAAAGATAAAATAAATACGAGCAAAAAAAGAATTTTTAAGCAAAGAAAGTACAGTAACATGCTCAAAATTAAATCCAGTGTGCGATACAGAATTTCGATATTCGAGTAAATTGTTCGATGATAGTAGAAGGCGATAGCTCGATAATGCACTAGCGCTGCCACTCGCCATGTTCTGCAAGCTCCTTCCTGTAGCTCGGCTTGTTTCGGTTCAGTTCGGCTATTCGGCTTTCATTTCAACTCAACCAACCTAATTTGTTTCCCACTCCCATCGTCCCATCCCAATCCCAACTCCCAGTCACCACTCACCAGTCACCACACCGCCTTGCTGAAAATCGTTCGTGTTGTGTTGTGCTGTGCTGTGAAAATATTCATCAAACAAAATGCCGATTGGTAAGTTGCTAATTTAACTCATGTCCATACATCGTTTCTGAACAATTGTTGCTACCTAAATGCACACAATAAATTACAGTAAGAAATAATTCTTCACAGTACCTTAATGTCCAACATTGAACCGGTATTTTCACGTCGATTTAGATTATATACATATTGCATCGATGTTTAAAACTAACAATCTTTCTAGTCCTACTAATGTTTATTATGAATTTAATACAACGATATAATCTACTGTATTTGTTAGGTTATAACACCTTAAATTATATTTTCTCGTTATTAGTCCATCTCAGACAAAATAAAAACTGTCGCCTACCTGGATGATTAACATTTGACTTAAGTTTAAAGATAAAAAAATATATATATATAACCTGATGTGCTGTATATTTTTTTACAAAAGTTCAGACGCATGTGGTTATATTTATTTCACCTCAATAAATGAGCAAATATTTGGTTCGAAATAATTGCAATTAGTCAATCAACCAAGTAGAAGTACCGTAACCAACGAAATGCAATGAAGGCATATCCAATGACAGTTTGGGAATTATCACAATATTACGGACAGATCAATAAGAAAATAGAAAATTAAACAATTTCCAGTTTCCACATCAAGACGTTGTCCTTGAATCGTACAATAATAGATGTGACTTCATTGTTGCCAGTTGCAGCGGTCTCGGCGCGGTGAGATGTGGTGGGGGTATTTTTAGATTCACACGCCCATGTTGAACTCTTGACCCCTCATTCCACAACATTTTTGACTTATTTGGGGATTCTAACACCGTTCTAAAGTCACATAACACGTTTTCGTTTTTTTTTTTACTCTTAGCAGGCTAATAGTTTGCGTCTTTCCACTTAAACCCTATTCTGATACTTCCAAGTCTACACGAAATCAGCTGAGTTTGTGTCCAATATACAACACTTTCTGAGGTCAGCTGGTTCATTACTCCACATTCCTCATGATGACTCACCCGCCCTGACCTCATCACGTGACCTAGCGTAACGGTGACGTCACCCGTGATATGATGATTGCATATGATCACCGGATGTTTCAAGTGATTCACCATCTGAATTTGCATTTTTGATTGCTCCAATGTCCAATGTGTAATGTGTGAAGAAAATGTTTTTTAGCAAATTTCCCATGTATAGGGAATAAGCTATTACCGTAGGTTTCATGGTATGACCTGGACCCGGGACTGATTTACTTTTTCATTTTGATGTCCCCAGAAGCAAAAAAACACCATCCGTTCAAATTCATAGCTGATTTACTCTGGCTGGGGACATCAAAACGAACAAGTTAATCGGTCCCAGGTACTATATTCGAGGCCTAGTTAGGAAAATGGAAATTCGCTTAGTATGCAGGTTTGCCTCTTCGGGGGTATTTTATATTTTGAGCTGGAAAAGGGTTGCATAATTTTGGTTAATGGTTCAATATATTTAATATGGTTATTTGTTACGGTTATGATGATTAAATAATTAACTTTATGAAAGATTGTTGTGAAAGGGGATTGTGGCGTCGATAACATGTTTGTGTGTCGCGTTGTAAAACTTCGACCAACAAAGAATTCCAAAAGAGTTTTAAAGATTTGTTTTCCTTCGAACCTCTACTGTTCTTGGTGATTTATCTTTGGACACATTTAAACAACGTCACCCATAAGCTGTATATGTTTAGATAACGCGTTTAGGTAATTATTGTAAGTGATTTTTGTTTAAGTCCGGGGGTTTAAATATTCCGGCCCGTACACAGGTATTATAATGTGTTTTGTTCTGATTGAATTTACAAGTGAACGGATAGCAGCTACGTTTCATTCCAAAATTAATTTATTCAACTCATGTCGTGCAACTCAAAAGTTCGCGGCTGGAACTTTACCCCCTAGACTGTGACGTCAGTTTTGCTCCGGGGGAAAAATTCCAGGGCGATAAAATTCCGCTACCATATTATCTGATCAGCTGTCGGCTGTTGTTTCCATAATATCTATGGTTGTTTCAAGGTTAAGGTGAGGTGGAGGGGATGGAATAGCTTCCCCTTTAAGTTTTGTGAACCGAGTTTAAACTACTATAAACGGAGTTTAAACTAGTATCTGGTTTCTTACCGCTAGATTCCGCGGCGCTAGTTGGCAAAACTCGACGGTAGCCAAGTCATTGACCAGATGTCCATCAAAGAACCGCCTCGTTGATTTTCAAGGCAGCTGCTGCTCTTCCTTCCGGTTTCCTTTCTCTCTACCTCACATCTTGAACCTTTACCTTATTCAAATGGCCATAGTATGGTACGGTACAATGTACTGTCCGTCAAGGCGACAACCGGTGAAAGCCTGTTAAAGGTTTCAATTTCGATTTGTTGTATTGTGGTGTAATAGATGATAGTTGATTTTACGCTATTTGGAAACGTAGTTTGTTGGCATGTACTGGTTCTAAAACTTTATACTGTAGGCCTACTCGGTAGTAATGCACTTATATATTCTTGTTGTAAAAAAGTATACATTGATCCCTATTCAATGTCAAAAATGTTGTACGATTCTGTTACATCCAGGAAACTGTAGCAACATTTACCCATTCCCTACTCAGAAATTCAAAATCCAATTCCGCCATTGCATGTTTAACTTAATCGACAGACAGACACAAACACGAATAG